TTTATTAAACTGCAAAAACTTTGTTCCTGTGGGAGGGACACTTTGTTCTAGATGGTCAATGAAAATCTCATCATTGAGATTCAATTCAACAGAGTTTGTGCCACAAAAATGAAGTTTCTGGAGTAAAACAATTCCTTTCAAGGTAAAGACTGCACAATTAAACAGGAAATAATACTTTCAAACCAAGAACAGATTTTTTTTCAAATTGTTTTATATAATATTATTAATTAATTAATTAATTAATTAATTAATTTACAGTATTTATATTCCACCCTTCTCACCCTGAAGGGGACTCAGGGTGGATCACAGAACACATATATGGCAAACATTTGATGCCGTTCTACACTGACTGGACTGACAACAGTACGCAGATAGAGGCATATAGGCCATCTTCGGCGTCTTGGAGGTCATGCTCAATTCCACCCACGGGTGGTGCTGTCGCTCCATCCTCCATGCCAAAGAGCCCTGTTCACAGAATTCCTCCTTTTGATCAAATCGCCGGCATTTTTTTCTGGTATTTCCTTATGGTGCTATTAAAATACCTCTGCTTAAGCAGTACCTATTTATCTACTCATAGCTGTTTTTGATCTGCTAGGTGGGACGTTTGCTGGGCAGAAAGTTGGGCACTCACCCCCGACTCAGGTTTTGAACTGCCAACCTTTCGACTGACAAGATTTATTGCAGCTGGTGGTTCACCTGCTGTGCTAAATAATAATAATACCCAACCATTTTCTCTCTTTAAAAAGACTCAAAGTGGCTTACAGTAAAAGGAATACAATACAGTTTAAAACCTGCAAATATACAAACATTAAAGTTGAATTAAATTCCCTAAAGTGCTCCCAAAGGGGACATCTAGTCCTGTGTTGTATTCCAGAGCAGGAATAGCTCTGTCCTTAAACACCACACCAGTATAGTAAAATCAGCAAGCAGTTTATTGAAGGATATATGCAATCAAAGCAATAAAAACAACAGAAACAGTATTGTCCAAAAAAGTATTTTCCAAAGGTGATTGAGCTTGGCCCCATGTAAGCCGCTCCAAGTTCCTTCGGGGAGATGGAGGCAGGGTATAAAAATGAAGTTTTTAAAATTATTATTATTAGTAGTAGTAGTAATAGTAGGTAACAAATAGTCCATGAACCAAGGTACAAAGGTAAAAACACAAGATCCAAGGATGCAAAATCCTAAAGAACAAGACAGTATGAAGATCCAATACCCAGAAGAGGAACCTGGCAAAATTTGAAACATAAAGCTAGAAATCCACTTGGAAACAAGAAATGTTGACCAGATGGAGATAAAATCCTTTCACCATCTCATATAAAGCTTTTCCTGTCTCATGAAACAAAAGGAAAACATTATGTTTGCCTTTACAACCAGATAAAGATTTCTCATTTCCCTTTTCTAGTAGACGGGCTGACCTTCGGGGAGCTTGGGAACTTTCTCTTAATTTACAAAAGTCTTCAATCTCATGAACTTCTGCACCTGAAAAATCATCCTCAGAAGACAGTTTCTCAGAGAAAGGCTGCCATGGGCCCCTTCCAGGAATGTGACCTTGAGAATCTACTCCGTTCATGAGAAACCTCAGAACCAGGCCTTTCAAGAAGGCCAGGACTTGACAACTCAGGCACAGGAAAAACCATCATCCCCATTGACATCAGATACAATCACAGGCTGAACTACAAAATCCAGCCTCTTTCTGCCAGACAGGAAAGCAAATTAAAGCCCTATCAGATAGCGCTATCACAAACATCAGCGACCATCATCCTGGTTAAGTTATTTTCACTCCGTCTCCAACAGCCTTCAATTGGAGAGAAGGTGGAGCTGTATTTCATCCTTTTATTTTAAAAAAAGGGAACGTGTTAAGAATATGTATGGAAAGTTGGTATTTAACACGGCGGTTTTGCCATCCCTGCTGAGAAGTTGTAGGCCACTAAAAGCCGCCCTCCCAATGGAGCATCCAATGTGACATTTGAGAAACGCTCAATAGCAGAACAATCGGGTCAAGCTCATATGGCGAAGTTGCGCAGTTGTGAAATGTCACTTGTGCTTTTGCAAATGGGTTCCCCAGAGCGGGGTTCAAGTGAGGTGTGGAGATGTATGAGAAAGGTAGCTTTTTCCATCTTCAAAAGCTTTTCTGTCTTCAAATTCCAAAGACTTAGATAGGAGGAAGGATTCAGGAATTCAGCAATTGCAAGTATTGCTGCGGCTCAAGCCAAAGTCTTTGGGAGACGGAGAGAAAGGGAGAAACAATACAGCTCAAATGGGTAAAATGATCCAACCGCTTTGGATAAAATTCACCATAGGATGAGTCCACAGCAGACAAGATCACATGGCCAACTGTGAAGACAGGCCTGGTTTGGGGGAGATGGAGCTTGGTTTGGGAGTTGTAGTTCACCCTTATCCATTGAGCACTGAACCCACCGACAACGGATGTGGACCAAACTTGGCACACAGAACCCTGGTGACCAACCTAACATACTGGAGGGGTTGGGAGGGAATGATCCACCCGCGTGAGAGTTGTAGCCTCCTGCCTCCACAAACAGCTTTAACCCACAGTGTTGGGGAGCCACAGAAAACACTTCCTTCAAGGACATTGCAGGTTATAGCGAGTGCCATGAACATGTACCCCAACCCCTGCCAATGTCCTCCCCAAACACTATGGCACACTACCCAAGGAATGCTCTCATTCGGGGACAATAATATCCTAGATTTTATGTGTTTCCTCTACCAAATAAACCTCCCACTGTTCCTTACTCTCTCCATTGGCGTGGAATTTGCATGACCCCGCCCACTGCCTCTCCCTTAACCCTTTTCTACTCTTTTCAACTGTCTGCATCATAAACACAGCAGAACTGAACAGCAAGTAAACATACTGGAGGGGTTTGGGAGATCGACTCCACATGATGGAAGTTGTAGTACACCCTGCATCAAGTCAGAGTACTGTTACCTCCACTGACAGTGGGCATGGACCATATTTGGCAGACAGAACCGCCCATGAACAGGATTGGAGGGAATTGACCTTCATTTATAGGAGTTATAGTTCACCTATATCCAGAGAACACTGTGAACTCAACCAAAAAGGGATCTGGACCACACTTGCCACGGATGATGGCACTTGCACACACACCCAACATGGCCAACTGTGTATATAGGCCTGGTTTGGGGAAAATTGAGCTTGGTTTGGGAGTTGTAGTTCACCCTTATCCACTGAGCACTGAACCCACTCGACAACGGATCTGGACCCAACTTGGCACACAGAACCCTGGTGACCAACCTAACATACTGGAGGGGTTGGGAGGGAATGATTCACCCACGTGAGAGTTGTAGTTCACCCTGCATTCAGAGATATTACCAAATTTCCCAAAGCAAACAATGCCGTTTTCAAATCACCCAGGCATCGCTGGGTCCCCAAACTAATAGAATAATAAACTCAAGACTAATATCCATCAATGTAATACACATGCCTGTCAAGCGAGATATAAATAAACATGAACATAATAATAATAATAATAATAATAATAATAATAATAATAATAATAATAGGCTTGTGAATACTCTCTGAACTTAATATCAATCTTCCAGGAATAAAGAATGACAAAAAAAATGCTGAAACTTGGGGTGCATCTACACTATAGAATTAATGCAGTTTGAAGCCACTTCAACTGTTTATGGGATCCTGGGAGTTGTAGTTTGGCAAGGTATTTAAGCCTTCTCTGCCAAAGAGTGGGAAACTACGGCTCCCAGCATTTCACAGCAGTTGAAGTGTGTTAATTTAACAGTGTAGGCGCACCCTTTCCCTTCCTTCTGTCCCTCAACAACAGCATTTCCCTTCTAAACCCACAATGTGCGGAGGAATAAGAATCGAGAAAAAAAGAAAATAGAAATACTTTACTTTTTGGCCATTGAAATATTCACCTCCAAAGAGAATGAGTTCGTCTCTCTCGGGATGCAAGGACAGAGATGCATTGAGCCGGCAGGTGGGAAACAATGGAGAAAAGGGGTCTTCCACACTGCACACGGCACTGGAAGTGGTATCGAACTGTGTTAATTCTACAATGTAGTTGCACTCTTTGCACGTCTTACCTTGGTGAAGGAGAGAATTGGTCGTCTGCGAGGACGTTGCCCAGGGGACGCCCGGATGATTTGATGTTTTTATCATCCTTGTGGGAGGCTTCTCTCATGTCCCCGCATGAGGAGCTGGAGCTGAAAAAGGGAGCTCATCCGCCTCTCCCCAGATTTGAACCTGCGACCTGTCGGTCTTCAGTCCTGCTGGCACAGGGGTTTAACCCACTGCACCACCGGGCGCTCTCACACCAGAAGGAATTTGCAGTTTCTCAAGTTGCTCCTGACACGACAATAATAAATAAACCTTGGTGAAGGCGGAGGAGAGCAAGGCGTCTCCAACACCTGAGTCTTTTTCACATCCAGAGTCTAAAATTCTGCAATTAGGGCTTCCAAATCTTCCTACATAAAGTAAATACATTCGTTATAAAGAACGGCAAAACATGGAAAGTGCTCCCACCTCCTTCCCATCTGTTTAGGAAGCATCTATTTATTTTGTTGTTGTTGTTGTTAATGCTGGGATTCCACAGGATTGAGATTTTAAGGTGGCATCAAACTGCATTATTATTATTATTATTATTATTATTATTGTTGTTGTTATTATTATTATTTTGAAGCACAACAAGATGAGTCCACAGCAGACACTCTGCTGGCTGTTATATTGGATCACACATCAGACACTTCCCAAGTGTCTAGGACTATGTGATGTATCAGCGAATAATGCGAGCAGATTCGAGTAGCATGACCTTCTGCAGCTGGCAGAAGGTAATTTTGTCAGCGCCGATTGTGTTTAAGTGCAGGCCAAGGTCTTTAGGCAATGCACCCAGTATGCCAGTCACCACTGGGACCACCTTTTTATTATTATTATTATTATTATTATTATTATTATTATTATTATTATTATTTCTTGTAATTCTTTTTCTTCTTTTTCTCTCTTCTAGGGTTCGGCTCCCATCCTTGTAGTCATGGTGATCTTGTTAAACATTGGAGTTGCCATTTTGTTTATTAACTTTTTCATCTAACTCGAGACTGTCTTGTTTGGAAAAAAAAACCCTAAATAATAATAATTGAAAATCATAATAAAAAAAACCAACAGCAGATTAATAATGGGGGGGAAAACAGCGTACGGACGGACGGGGGATGAACGAGGCGAAGGGCGAAACTCCACAAGCGATGAAGGTGGTTCTTCTTTTTGTCCCTTTTTCTTTTTGTCCCTTTCCATCCTTTGCGCTGTCCTGCGACAACGTCCGAGTCTTTTCACCGACGACAAGAACAAAAAGAGGGAAGACAAAAGAAGAAGAAAAAGGTTGAATATCACTCACAGTTTGCCTTTTTAATTTTCTGTTTTCCCCCCGGTTCCTCGGTAATGTTTTTTGGATCCTTAGCCAAAATTCTTTGCTTGTATAACACTTTGATCGCTGTGTGGCATGGCAGAATGGTAACGTCCCCGTCTCCTCCTCCCTCCCAAAAACAAGGCAGAAATGGGATACGTTTCCCTGGCAAACCTTGGTGGATGACGGGATCTGTTGTTTAGGCAGGATTCTGGAAAAGAAGGGGGAGAACATTCACAATTATGTGCAGTTGCCTCCGGAAAACCCATTTGGTGTATCCAGCAACTGACTCGAATATTGAGTCCCAAATTCGAGTCGTTGCATTAATTGCGAAGATTCCCAAACTATGGTCTTTGAAGTGTTTTGCACTCCAAATCCCATAATCCCTGATTCTTAACCAAAGCAGCTGAGGATTCTGAGAGTTGGGACTCTAAACCTTCCAAGGACTAGAGTTTGGGAATCACTAACTGAAATAGATTTCGATTGGTAACCCTTTCCTTTCCAACTCCATACAAAGGAAAATGAAAAATATTGACTTTGGCTGCCATGAAATGCATCCAATTTGGGAGCATTTTTGCCCCCCAAATAAATATATATATTTAGCACTTGTTCCCATTCAGAGACCCCCAAATCCCCAAATATATCCTCTTATGTTTTGCACCCAAAATATGTATCTACAACAGGAGAAAAATTGCACATAACCGCCCCAGTCCTGTTGGTGCCTTATGCATGTCTTGAGTTTCCCTATAGAAGATATTGAATATTTTTGCCTATATTCAGGGTTATGGAAGGAGGGTTTGCGCACGTGAGGACACATGTCCATAGGTTGCATTGCCCACACATATGCGTACAGTTCTGCATTTAGTTGTGCAATGTTGTAATTTATTTAATGCAGGTGAGTATCTCATGCTTAAAGTCCCTCTCCAAAATAAAATTATAGGTCTGGGTGGCAATCCTATGCCCATAGTTCCGCCCAACATCCTCCTTTATGATACATATAATCATAGACTTGAAAGAGACCCCCAAAGGCCATCTAGTCCAACTCATTATGTCAAGGAGGAAGACACAATCCGATCCCTCCTGACAGATGGTCATCCAATCTCGGTTTAGAAATCTTCAGAGGAGACTCAACCGTAAAGCAAAATGTCTCTTGCTAATGTTCAAGTACAGTCTCTTTTCCTGCCATTTGAAGCCATGGCTCCATTGCATCCTAGTCTCTGGAACAGCAGAAAACGAGCCTCAGTGTGACACCTTTTCAGCTACGAAAGGCATTCCTTAAAGATTTCCCCTTACCCACTTGGCCCAGTTCTGAGTCCTTCTCTCCATGGGTGCCACCTTGGGACACACACTTCTCCCATCTTTTTAAGCAGCTGTAAACACCTCGCTTGTAGAAGTCGACAGGTTGCTCCAAAGCCATGTTGTGACTTCGGAAATCAGAGTCTCATCATCTGAAAAATGCTTGCCCTTAAAAAATAAATTCCTTGTTGGAAAGAGGTGGAAATCCGATGGTGCGAGGTCGGGTGAATCAAGGGAATGCAGTCGAATTCCAAAGCCACAAGAGCATGCTTTTTCCATTTGGGCAACAGGTGAGTTGTGAATGGGTACATTGTCTTGCAGAAGGCGGTCACCTTTGGTGAACATGCCACATTGTCTCTTGGTTTGGATAGCCTCTCACAATTTCCTCAGCAGTGAAGCCTAGTATGCTCCAGTGGCCATGGTCCCCTTTGCTAGGAAATCCATTAATGCTACTCTGCTGGTTCCAAAATCCTGTGAGCAAGAGTTGGGCATAGGTCTTTGGAGGCAGTGAGTCAGGATGCTTCCATGGCATAGACTGGACTTGAGTCTCGGGATCAGAGTGATGGACCCAGCTTTCATCCTGTGTAGTCAATCTGTTGAAAAAGTCCTCCTGGTTTCCATGGCACATCATTGTCAAGAGAGCCTGAGAGCCTTCAACTAGTTCCTGCTTCTGGAAAGGTGTGAGCAACCAGTGGGCCCAGAGAGCGGAGACCTTATGCATGTGAAGATGTTCTTGGGTGGTTTTTTCCACAGACCCACACTCATCTTGACATTTTGGACTAGGTGGTGAATGGTTACATAGCCATTTTCCAAAATGGCCACCTCCACTTGCTGGATGGTGTGTTCATCAATATCAGAGTGGGTCTTCCCTGGAATTGGAGCTGTTTGCACCGAAGTCCAACCACATTGGAATTGACGATGCCAGTTCTTGACTCAATCCTATGATGGGGAATCATCACCAGAAAACTCTTTCATCTCATCAAACATCTCCTTTGATGTGTGGCCTTTCAAGGAAAAGGACCTGAGGACTGCTCTGTCTTCCACTGGGTCCATTCTCAAACCTCACTCTACCTGTAGAATCAAGAACGTTATCAGTTCTGAGTTGGAAATTGGCATGCAACCTATAGAGACTGATATCATTACACATGTGCCGTTTCAGCATCCTGTGATAAGTAGAAGTGGGTCAGGAGAAATATTTAATGAACACCCCTTGTACAATCTCTTTTCCTGCCATTTGAAGCCATGGCTCCATTGTGTCCTAGTCTCTGGAGCAGTAGCAAACGAGACACGTGGCTCTTACATCCCATCTCAGTCTTCTTTGCTCAAAGCTAAACATCCCCCCGCTCCCAAAGATTTGGCTTCCAAATCTACAATTATTTTGGCTCCCCTTCTATGGATATGTTTATATCCAGATCGTCAACTGCTTTGCCCCGAACTGGACTCAATGCGACTCCAATTGAAGTCTGACCAAAGCAGAAGAGTTGGACTATAACGTCACTCATCCTGGATAGCACCATATTGATTCATGTGAAGATGCTCTTGGGTGGCTTAAATGGCTGAGGGGGAAAAGGAAGGAGCTTGAGACTGTTAGGAATGATAGGATTTGGAGTCCAAAACACCTGCAGGCCCTAAGTTTGCCCATGCCTTCTATGGAATCATGGGGGATGTAGTTTTGCAAGATCTTGAGCCTCCTCTGCCAAAGAAGGCTGATGCCTCACCAAACTATAAATCCTGGGAACATGTGGCATTGAACCATTAAAGGTGAGGTGATGTCCTTCAAAGAGGAGCTCCAGGTACAGCATCCCCTTTTGCTTAGGCTCCACAAAAAGGCCCCTTTGACACATCCAGATTATCTGTTTAGAACAGAATTATATGGCAGTGTAGACTCATATAACCCCACTCAAAGCAGATCAGGTGGATTGCCTACTTTGATCATCTGAATTATGTCAGGGTAGAAGAGGCCTAGGATGACCGTATGATGGTCTTGGAGTCCTCTTAGGGAACAAGTTAAACATGAGCCAACAATGTCATACGGTGGCTCAAAATGCCCAGGGGATTTTGGCCTGTATCAACAGGAGTCTAGTGCCTAGATCCAGGGAAGTCCTTCTCCCCCTCTGTTCTATTCTGCCTTGGTCAGACCACACTTGGAATCACATTGTGTCCAATTCTGGGCATTGCAATTGAAGGGAGATATCCACCTTATGATGGAATATGTCCAGAGGAGGTCGACTGAAAGAATCCAGGGTCTGGAGAACAAGCCCTAGGATGAGGAGTGGCTTCAAGAGCTGGGCGTGTTTAGCCTGAAGAAGAGAAGGCTGAGAGGAGACATGATGAGGGCCAGGGATCAAGATGTGATGGGAAATCCTAAGGAGGAGGGAGAAAGCTTGTTTTCTGCTGCCCTGGAGACTAGAACGCAATGGAACAATGGCTTCAAACTAGAAGTAAAGAGATTCCACCTGAACATGAGGAAGAACTTCCTGTGTGAGAGAGCTGTTCAGCAGTGGAACTCTCTGCCCCGGAGTGTGGTTGAGGCTCCTTCTTTGGAGGTTTTGAAACAGAGGATGGATGGCCATCTGTCGGGGGTGCCTTGAATGCAATTTTCCTGCTTCTTGGCAGAATGAGGTTGGACTGGATGGCCCACGAGGTCTCTTCCAACTCTAGGATTCTATGATCTAATGCGCAACCTCATTTTGGCAAGGTCATTAAAACCAAAACAAAGGGGAGGATTAGTTTCGAATAAATAGGGTATATTCCTATCGATGCAGCCTAGAATGGTATTGGACTTTTGAGCGTCAACTTTTGCCTCCCATTTTCTATTTGTATAAAAGAGGACCAAATCAGGGAAATGGCTGAGTGATTCAGCGAGGCTTCGAACGTGATGCATGGAAGTAAGGGGTCCGTTTCAGAAAGGAAGGACACTTCCCGAATCGGGGCCTGGATGTGGAGGTTTGCTGGAGGAAGCCCCCTCCTCGCAAAGCGGGGTCTGGCCTGCGTTTTGGGGAGGGGGCTCGGAGGGTGGCGGTGGCAGCCCCTCCCTCCCTCCATCCCCGTTCCATCTTGCCACTGGCCACTTCCAGGCGTCTCATGCTTGGCCTCTGAGCATGTAATATTTTTGCACTTTGTCTGCAGGATGTATATTCCAGCTTCCGACATAATCCCTGTACAAAAACAAACAAACAAACAAAAACATCATTGACAACAGCAGCCTCTGAGTACGTAATGCTCTTTTTATAATTTCCGTTTGTTTGTTTTCTGTTTTGTTTTTTTCCTCCTCTATGTATCACTTAATTTTGGTATGGTTCAAAACATCTTTGTAAGATGCCTCCTGCCTCGGGTCTTTTTTCTTCCTTTTCGGGTTCTCGACTCTCTGGGCGAATGTAACTCTGAAATACGCATGGCACATAAGGGCACAGCATTCCCATAACTGCCCATATTCTCACACCAAAAATATACGATTCCAACTCCAACACTCAAAGCCCCTCTGGTTGTGTTTTACTTAGGGAAATTTTATGTATTTATTTACAGTATTTATATTCTGCTCTTCTCACCCCGCAGGGCGGATTACAATGAACATATACATGGTAAATGTTCAATGTTATAGACATACAACATATATAGACAGCCCAGAGTCAATTTAACATTCCAGCTTTCGTGCTTCATGAGGGTGTGCTTGAGTCCGGCCCCAGGGAGACCTGTCACTTCACCATCCACTTGTGACACCAAGCCCTTGATGGAGTACTTCCTCATTCTTACGCAAACTATTGGATGGTTTTATGGTGTTGTAAATTTGTTAAATCAGCCTCCCTGCATAAAGCAGTACCTAAATTTCCTACTTGACAGATGCAACTGTCTTTCAGGCTGCATAGATCAACAGCAAGCTAGACTATTAATAGTCGGGAGCTCACTTCCACCTGGGCTGGCTTCGAACTCATGACCTCTCAGTCAGTGATGATTTAATGCAGCTGACTGATAACTAGCTGCACTATAGCCCAGTCCTGCATGTAAAATGCAGCTTACCTGTTCAATATTGTAATAGAGAAGCTAAGGACGTATGGTCCAGCATGCCACACTTGCTGGGGTTAATGGGATATCCAGGAGACCACAGGTTCCATGGGTCTATGGTTAAAGCCTATGAGCAGTCTTTCTAAGGCAGAGTTTTCCAAACTGTGTGTCGGGACTTACTAGTGCAGTGGTTCTTGTAGCATAATGTAAAATAAAACACGTGTAGTTCATGTTTGATCAGCCCACACACTGCCTTGCCAGAGAAAGAAAATTTGCCACACAGGTGAACAGGAAAAAGCAAGTAGTTTACTACTCAGTTGCATTGACTCACAATGTACTTTCCTGAGGTTTGAAATGGACTTTCTCTGTGCAATTGGATAAACTCCTTTGGCAGCTCATGAAACGAGAGCAAACTTGAAACTGTCTCTCTCTGCTTCATTCTACTTTTCTCTCTGAACATAACTCAAGCCTGAACAAAAATGTAACAGTATCCAAAAGTCCCAGGCTCAGCCTGCTCCCTGAGCATTGCCCAACCAATCGGTTTTGTGCATCTTATTTTACAGTTGACACACACTGATTCCTAGCATGCTCCAACATGTTTTACTAAGGGAAAATGCACCTTACCTGTTCAACATTGTAATGGAGGTGCTAAGGCTGTATGATCCATCATGCCAAGCTTGCTGGGGCTAATGGGATATCCAGAGGACCACAGGTTCGACGGGTCGATGGTTAAAGCCTATGAACAATCTTTCTAAGGCAGAGCTTTCCAAACTCACTAGTGCAGTGGTTCTCAACCTGTGGGTCCCCAGATGTTTTGGCCTTCAACTCCCAGAAATCCTAACAGCTGGAAAACTGGCTGGGATTTCTGGGAATTGTGGGCCAAAACATCTGGGGACACGCTGGTTGAGAACCACTGCACTAGTGTGTTGCCTGAAAAATCAAGCATGCTTCCAAACAAAATCTTTGTTAGCTCTTACTTTTGGGGGAGGCTTTAGATTTAGCAATTCAGCAAAACCTCTACTATGTCTTATTTTCAGGGGATGTCTTATTTTTGGGGAAACTATAATTTGCACAATGTGTGGATTGAGGTGCAGTATTTACCACTAAAATGGATACAGTTCTAATTAAGAAAAGAAAATCCATTGACACTGATGTTTGTGATGAACCTCATGGAGTGGATATGGAGGAAACTACACCGGAATCAACTGCAGTACATAAAAAGGGGAACGGAAACACTTCCAGACCTTGTTTTTACAGTAAAGATTATATGAAACGTATGCCTATGTATGTGAATATATACACACACATGTATATACATACTCAGGTACACACGCATATACAGGTTGCGGCAGCCTAACTTCCTTTTTTAAAATGCACGCCATTCAGTCGATTGAAGACGTAGCGGAGCGCTAGTGGTCTCGTTCGAGAGGCGGGAGTATAATGTTTTGTCCTGACACAGTTCAGTCGCCATCATGCGTTGGACCAGTGAGGAGCATGCTTTTGCCGTTGAGGCCTACTTTTCGAGCGGATGTTCTGTGATCGCAACCCAGCGCGCCTTTCGGAATCGCTTTAATTTAGCCCCATTGGCCCCTGTCCTGGACCGGAAATCAATCGTGACGTGGGCCACTACATTCAGACAAACTGCAAGTGTGACAAGACGAAGAACAGGAGTCCCTCGGCCCATTAGATCACCTGAGAACGTTGAGGCAGTGAGAGCTTCAATGTTGCGACCACCACGGCGTTCTGCGCGTAAACATGCGCCTGCCCTTGAACTTTCCGATCATTCTGTGAGGAGAATTCTTCATGATGATCTTCATTTCCATCCTTACAAGATGGCGATTGTGCAGGAACTTTCTGAACGTGACTTCAATTCTCGGAGGAACACGTGTGACGTTCTTCTCGAAGTCGTTCCTGAGGACGCTATTGCTTTTTTTAGTGATGAAGCCCATTTGGCTTCATCACTAAAAATGGAACGGAAACCTTTCCAGACCTGGTTTTTACAGTAAAGATTATATGAAACTTATGCCTGTGTATGTGTATGTATGTATGTGAATATATACACACACATACATATACATACTCATGTACACACGCATATCTATATAATTAAAAATTTAATGTTTGTGGGATTAACAGAACTCAAAAGCCACTGGGCGGATTGACACCAAATTTGGACACAAGACACCTTACAACCCAATGTATGTCTTTCACTCAAAAAAACGATTTTGTCATTTGGGAGTTGTAGTTGATGGGATTTATAGTTCATCTATAATCAAAGAACATTGAACCCCACCAACGATGGAATTGAACCAAACTTGGCACACAGTTCTCCCATGACCAACAGAAAATACTGTGAGGGTTTGGTGGGCAGTGTCCTTTGGTTTAGGAGTTGTAGTTCACCTACATCCAGAGAGTACTGTGGACTCGAAACAATGATGGATCTGGACCAAACTCTACAAGAATACTCAATATGCCCAAATGTGAATACTGGTGGAGTTTGGGAAATAGAATCTTGACATCTGGGAGTTGTAGTTGCTGGGATTTATAGTTCACCTACAGTCGAAGAGCATTCTGAACCCCACCAACGATAGAATTGAGCCAAACCTCCCAAACAGAACCCCCATGTGGGCCACAGCAATGCGTGGCAGGGGACGGCTAGTATACAATATGCATGGAAATCTTATAAGGGGTTAGTTAGATTAACCTCCAGTTTGCTCCTAAGACTGAATTCCTGTGTCACAAAGGGATGCTTGCCTCAAAAGCATGTCTTCAACATGAAAAGCTTGGAAAGCTGTTCCAAGGAAATGTCAAGGTGAGAAATCTCCACATCTCTCCATGAAACAAAGTAAGTCATATTGATAAGACATTAGGGAATGTGCCAAGCATTGCTTGGGCTAATGGTAAACATCTCCTTCACGGTTTGAACATTTGTTTCCTTTCACATTCCATGCACTAAAAAAGAAGAAATTATTAAGACTTAAAATTGACTCCCAAATATTTTCATTCCAAGTCTGGGCTTGTTTGGCAAACTTTGTATCCCCAAAGAAGTCCAACCTTGGAATGAAAATACTGGGTGAGTCAACCCAAGTCTAAATTCCAGGTTTGGACACAAAGCAGCCCATACACATTGTACAGCATAAACTAATTGCAGAAATCCAGTGTTTGTTCAGGAGGTACTGGGAACGGGAGCAAAATCTTATTGGGTCTACATTTGGCATCTATTAGACGACGCATCAGTCACCATAATCCAAGCATAACCAACACTTTAATTGACAGCATAGGTTTCAAAATGGTTTAAATCCTGACTCCTGAACCCCAGAAACAGACTGAAATTCTCTTTCCTTCGATTTTAGAAATTGAAGACATACTTTAAGGCCAATCTCCTTCATAAATCTACTAGCAATTTCCAAACTTTTCTGCTTCTCTCTCAATCTTTCCACTTGGCATTTTATTTTCTTAGAAACATTTTTTCCTCACGTAATAGTCGCATCCCTTTTTTATCGATGTGAATAATATGCAATGAAATACTGCATATTTTCCAATTTTGGAGGTTTCAGCAACCAATATATGATCTGTAAGATCAAGGGATTCGTCGTAGCAAAGCTAGAGGCAAATGGCTCCACAACAGAGTTGGACAAAGGGTCATTTCTCTCTTAATGACCTGAAAAAGCTGTTCTCCTATGGCTGCAATTCATCCCTAAATGGCTTAAAACAGTCTTTCAAACATAGCTTTTGAAAACATTATTTATTCAGTCACTCTCCAAAGCAACAAATGGATTCTTCGGGCATAACGGAGCCCATTTTGTACCACCAAGAAGAGGACATCGCAGTGCCTAGTCCTATTGGTGTTACCCAATGGCAACACAACCATTATGGCAACGCTCAGGAAACGTCTTGACCTAAGCTGACCCTTCATAGAAGGCCTTTGCCATCGCATGTCCCACTTTCACGGTCTTCTTCTCCTTGGCTTCGGGGCCCATGTTCTGGCGGGCCAGCTTCACCCAATAGGGCTCCGTCCGGGAGAGATAATCGGTGTATTTCTCATCCTTCTGGACAACAGGGTGCTCTTCCTCCTCTTTTGTGGTGCAACAGGACATAAATAAATAGAAGACAAAGGGAAATTAAGTTCGGAATGCATCTAATTAAAAGGCCCCATTGGCCTGGGTTTGGGACACAGGACTGACCCACATGAAAATGAAAAAAAAATCAGAAATAAAGAAACTGTCAACTTTTGTGAACCCACCTCTAGGTCTCCAGCATGACTCTATGAGCAAATTCTGCTGGAAGTTGACATTGGGAAGACTTAACACTGTCCTCTCTAGAAATGGTATATTATAAATTACATGTGATATTAATAATAATAATAATGCATTATAGTGGAATAGTACAATATGATAATATATATTACTAATATTGTGCTATGCTAATAATATAATATACTGTATGTACATATAATATTGATCCTAATATTATCATGAAATACAATATAATACTACTAATAATAATACAATAATATAATATAATATAATATAATACATGAATATTATTTATTTATTATTTATTTAGAACTTTTCTACCCGGTCTTCTTGACCTCCGAAGAGGGACTCAGGCCGGCTAACAACAGGAAATTCATACACAAGTAGGATAAACATAATAGCATCGTAATACATTAATACATGAAATACATTAAAATACAGATCATACAATTACAAAAGCCAGGTCATCAAAGTAAAATCACAAATTTACTAAAATATTGCATTATAGTGGTATTGTACAATATACTAATATATAATACTAATATTGTGCTATGTTAATAATATAATGTATTGTATGTACATAGAATATTTATCCTAATATCATAATGTAATGCAATATAATAATATAATGATTATATATTATATACTACACTGAATATTAATAATAATATTTCATTATAGTGGTATAGTACAATATACTAATTTATAATAATAATAATAATAATAAAAACTGAATATTGTGCTATGTTGATAATGTAATACATTGTATGTACATATAATATTGATCCTAATATTATAATATAATACAATATAATACTACTAATAATATAATAATATATTATTATTATTATTATTATTATTATTATTATTATTATTATATGTTACATGTACTATTACTAATAATATTGTAGTATAGTGGAATAGTACAATATACTAATAGATAATACTAATATTGTGCTCTGTTAAGAATATAATATATTGTATATACACATAACTTGTTAGTCGCTCTGAGTCCCCTTCAGGATAAGAGAGGGCAGGGTATAAAAATAGTAAATTAAATACATAAATAATCTCTAACAAGCCTGAAACAAGTTGACTGTGAAGAACCTAGAAATACATAGAGAGGACATTTGTAATCCCATCTGCAAATAAACAAATACACCTTAGCTTTTTGCTTCCGTCCTTCCTTCTTTCCTTCCCTCCCTCTTTCTCTCCTTCTTTCTTTTCTTTCTTCACTCCCTTTCCTTCCCTTTTTTCTTTCCTTCTCTCCTTCCTTCCTTCTCTTTCCTTCCCTCCCCCTTTTTCTTTTCCTTCCTCTTTCTCTCCTTTCTTCCTTCTGTACCTCTTTCATTCCTTCCTTAGCTTTTTGCTTCCATCCTTCCTTCTCTCCTTCCTTCCCTCGCTCTTTCTCTCCTTCCTTCACTCCCTCTTTCCTCCCTTCCCTTTTTTTCTTTCCTTCTCTCCTTCCTTCCTTCTCTACCTCTTTCCTTCCTCCCTTTTTCTTTTCCTTCCACTTTCTCTCCTTTCTTCCTTCTCTACCTCTTTCCTTCCTTCCTTCGGTCTTTGCTTCCATGCTTTTCTTTCTTTCTTTCTTTCTTTTTCTTCCCTTCTTCTTCCTTCTCTTTTTTCTATATTGTCATTTTTTGGTCAATTTTTATAAGTGATGGTCACTTGTTGGTCTGTTAGGGGTATAGTGCCCAAATTTCATGTCAATTCCATGGTTTTTTGAGTTCTGTTAATCCCACAAACGAACATTACATTTTTATTTATATAGATTATTATTGATATTATTATAATACAAGTACCTTCATCTTCACTCTCATCATCATCAGAGTCTTCCTCCTCCTCTTCCTCCTCTTCCTCCCCTCCTTCGGCGCCTTCTGCATCTCCCTCTTCATCAGACTCGGATTCTTCAAGCCATTCCTGAGTTTCTAGCACAGACAAAGACACACAAACTTAATAAATTTGGGAATGCCTTCTCCGAGCAACCCTCAAACAGTGGGTCCATTTATAGAAGTTGTTTTGAAGTTTATTGAGAACTCTCCATGGTGCTGAAACTAATCAGTCAAGGAGTTTCAGCACCATGGTTAGCGCTCGCAGAATCTGGAGTTGCTCCTGCAAAACTCAAAGCCACTGATCTCCTTTGAGGGCAAGACCCTATCTTTTGTCCTCATCTGCCGGCCTTCTATCACATCCTCACATCTTAGCATGCAAGGAGGCTGGTATCCCTAGAATACTACTATATTATCCAAGCAACAGCATGCTAATAAAACCATTGGGAATTGTATTTGGTTTTCTCAAACTCCTTCTCAAAAAGCCTGAAGCAGAATGGGCTTCGCAACCTCCTCTGCTCTGAAATCAAGAAGTGGGAGATGTTTTTTACAAATTGCTTTGAGATTTACATGTCTTTACATAAGTATCTTAAATCCTGCCTATCCGTGACAAAAGAGCGCTCTAAGAACCTAACAGGATTTTAAAAAGAAAATTATATACTGTTAAGTGGGGAAAGTGTGTTAAAATGAGGGGGATGAAGCAGAAATTGGGCTGGGCATCGAGATCTATGGGAAACTATGGCTTGCTAAGGCCAAAAATTTAAAATTCAAGACATGATAACATAATATAAACAAGGGCAAGCTACTAGTCCTTATTGTCACAGAGATAGATAGATAGATAGATAGATAGATAGATAGATAGATAGATAGATAGATAGATAGATAATTGATGGATGTCTGGATGGGTAGATGGATGATAGTTGGAGATGATAGAGGATGCATGGATAGATAGATGATTGATGGATGTCTGGATGAATGGGTAGATGGATGAATAAATGGATGGATGGATAGATGGTAGATGGATGTCTGGATGATTTCTGTATAGATTGATAGATGGGGAGACAGATAATAATAATAATAATAATAATAATAATAATAATAATAATAAATCACACACACAGTCTTAGATGCTTGGGAAGTGTTCGACTTTGATTTTGTGATACGAAATCCAGCATATAGATCTCATTTGCTGTGACATACTGTGCTTTTGTGTCAATAATAATAATAATTGACATACTGTGCTTTTGTGTCAATAATAATAATAATAATAATAATAATAATAATAATAATAATAAATCACACAGTCCTAGATGCTTGGGAAGTGTTCGACTTGTGATTTTGTGATACGAAATCCAGCATATAGATCTCGTTTGCTGTGACATACTGTGCTTTTGTGTCAATAATAATAATAATAATAATCTTTATTTCTATCCCACCCTATCTCCCTGAGGGGACTCGGAGGTTTACAACAGAAACATTCAATGCCAGCATAACATAACAAACTGATCAAATCATAAACAATAAAGGAAACAACATCAGATGTACTTATAGAACAACTAAAAAATAACCAACTTGGAAATTTAAATATATAAACCAAACATTTAGGACATGTTTACTACTAGATCCAACAATAGCGAACAGTTAAAACATTAAATGTAAAAAGGCATTTACAAGTCAACAGGGCTGAGGTAGTGTCTGAGTCAGAGTGTTTAAGGTGCTGGCCAAATTAAAATTATTATATTGCATAATTCCACAAGATAAAAAGGGCCTATATGGATGGATGGACAGATGGATGTCTAAATGATAGATGGCTGGATAGATGGATAGGATGGTATCTGGACAGATAGGGAGATGGAAGTAATGGAAGGATGGATGGATGACAGTTGGATAGATAGATGAATGATGGATAGATAGATGGATTGATTGGATGGTGTTTGGATAGATGGGGAGATAGAAGGATTGGATGATGGATTGATAGTTGGATGTTGGATAGCTAGATGGATTAAATGATGTCTGGATAGATGGGGAGATAGAAGATTTAGATGATGGATGTCTAGATGATAGTTGGATGATGGATGGAGTGATTGATTGATAGATGGATTGGATGGTGTCTGGATAGATGGGGCGATAGAAGGATTGGATGATGGATGTCTCAATGATAGTTGGATGGATAGTTGGATAATAGATGGATTGGATGGTGTCTAGATAGATGGGGAGATAGAAAGATTGGATGATGGATATCTCAATGGTAGTTCCATGTATAGTTGGATGGTGGATGGATAGATGGATTGGATGGTGTCTGGGCAGATGGGGAGATAGAAAAATTGGATGATGAATGTCTCGATGATAGTTCGATGGATAGTTGGATGATGGATGGATAGAAGGATTGGGTGGTATGTGGATAGAGGGGAAGATAGAAGGATGTTTGGATGATATCTGGATAGATGGATGAATGTCTGGATGATTGATTTCTGGAGAGATGAGATGGATGGATGGAGAGATAGATTGACAGATTGATGGATGATAGACAGACAAACGGATGGATGATGGAAGATAGCTAGCTAGATGATAGAAGAAAGATTAGGTAGGTAGGTAGGTAGGTAGGTAGGTAGGTAGGTAGATAGATAGATAGATAGATAGATAGATAGATAGATAGGAAATTTTGGAATCAGGAAAGCTGAAAGGTTATGAGAAATTAGATAGGTGGAGATTAGATACTCTCAAACTTTCCATTCCAATAACTGATGCATAGCAGAAACATGATAAGAAGTTGTATGCGATGTACATGAGAAGAGACATAAGACATACAATTTGCATTGTTTCATGGCATTGAGTTCAGAGACAACCCCCTTCTAAAGCAGCCTTCTCCACTATTGTAATAAGCGCACTATAATGATGGTTTGGATAACACTGGAGAAAACTAAGAGTGTGACATGCTAAGCTTCATGAAAAACATGCTCTTTGTTCCTCCGTAATTCAAGCAATGGGCCGGTGTGCGTGAGCATTATAGCCAACGTTGTGCGCTGCAGCCGCACTGGCCCAAAGGAAAGGAGCAACCGGAGTTCAGCATCACCTTTGGGTGGAACGATTAAGTCTCCGGCTGGAAGAGGCAGACACGCACCGGCTTAAAAGCCCCAGGGGGTAGAGGGGAAAATAACTTTTCCCAGGGATTAAAGCCGACCAGAATTAGCCTCCCTCGCTCTGTTTGTACGTACAGTTCATTCAAAGCCATTCATGGTTCTGGGAGGGAAAACAACCTTCTCGCTGTAAATAGACTTTTGCCCCAGATAGCATCGGTTGCAGGATGACATCGAACACGACTGTCCTGAGAGCACAGGGTTCCTACGAAGGCATCCAGACGTAGTGAACTATGGCATAAAAGGTTCCCATTCCATCCCTAGGGTGCATCTACACTGCAGATTTAATGCGGTTTCACTTCCATGGCTCAATGCTAAGCAATCAGGGAGCTGTAGCTTGGTGAGACACCAGCCCTCTTTGGCAGAGGAGGCATTGTGAAGCTACAACTCAGTAAAGCATTGAACCGTGGCAAGCAATGTCAAACCAATGTATTGTTGAAGGCTTTCATGGCTGGAATCACTGGTTTGCTGTGAGTATTCCAGACTGTATGGCATTGTTCCAGAAGCATTCTCTCCTGGCATTTCACCTGCATCTCTGGCAAGTTGATTGGAAGCTTCCCACCAGAGTGGAAATCATCTATTGGACAGATGGCAAGCTATGTAACCTCAGCAGACTGAAAGCCAAAACCAAGGTTACAACAACATCTGTTATACAACTCCTGTATGCTGATGACAACGCAATCTGTGCGCATTCAGAAGAAGACCTACAAGTCACTCTAATCACTTCTGCAGAAGCATACGAGAAGCTCAGCCTGTCATTGAACAGTGAGAAAACCAAAGTGCTGTTCCAGCAGTCACTGGCCAATTCCTCTGCAATGCCAGAGATACAGCTTAATGGTGTAAATTAGAAAATGTTGACCATTTCCGCTACCTTGGCAGCTACCTCAGCACAAAAGTCAACATTGACACTGAAATACAACACCGCCTGAGCTCTGCGAGTGCAGCATTTTTCCGAATGAAGCAGAGAGTGCTTGAAGAGTGGGACATCCATAGGGAGAACAAGGTGCTTGTTTATAAATCTATTGTCCTCCCAACCCTGCTATACGCTTGCGAGACGTGGACTGTCTACAGACGTCACATGCAACTCCTGGAACGATTCCATCAGCGCGGCCTCCGGAAAATCCTGCAAATCTCTTGGGAAGACAGACGGGCAAATGTCAGCGTGCTGGAAGAAGCAAAGACCACCAGCATTGAAGCGATGGTCCTCTGCCATCAACTCCGCTGGACCGGCCACGTTGTCCAGATGCCCGACCACCGTCTCCCAAAGAAGTTGCTCTATTCCGAACTCAAAAACGGAAAACAGAATGTTGGTGGGCAGGAAAAGAGATTGAAAGATGGGCTCAAAGCCAACCTTAAAAACTGTGGCATAGACCCTGAAAACTGGGAAGCCCTGGCCCTTGACCACTCCAGTTGGAGGTCAGCTGTGACCAGCAGTGCTGCAGAATTTGAAGAGGTACGAATGGAGGGTGAAAGAGAGAACGTGCCAAGAGGAAGGCACGTCAAGCCAACCCCGACCGAGACCACCTTCCATCTGGAAACCGATGCCCTCACTGCGGGAGAAGATGCAGAGCAAGAATAGGGCTCCACAGTCACGTACGGACCCGCCACCAGAACACCGCCCTTGGAGGATCATCATCCTCGGACTACGAGGGATCGCCTAAGTAATAGCAGGCATCCTCAGAGGTTGTGAGGTCACTCTGGACATTCCACAGATATATATAAAACCCTGTTTCCCTAGTTACCTTTGAAGATACTGCCTTAGATGCAGGCGAAACGTCAGGAGAGAATGCTTCTAGAACAAGGTCAGACAGCTAAGAAAACTCACAGCAACCTGATGTCAAACCACATTAATGCTTCACTGCAGATGCGCCAGAAGTTTGCTCTGAATTTTTCAGATCAAAAGAAGACTGTTTGCTTCTTCTGCCAATTTTTGCTGGTAAAAGCTGAGAGCTTGATTGATTCATTACATTATGTAACAAATTTTGGGGGGAAAAACATGTTCCTGGTTTGAAAGTGTTATTTTCTGTTTAAATGTGCAGCCCTTACTTGGAAAGTAATTGCTCTATTCCAGGAACTTCATTGTTTTTGTGGCTGCCACAAACTACGTAGAATTGCTTGAGACTGGATGAGAAATGCATTGAAAAACAAGAGCAAAATGTGCTATAGCAGGATGTCCCACCAAAACAAAGTTTTGGCAGTTTAATTAATGTTTTCCATGTTTTTATGATAGAACTAATTAGGAAATGAAATTGATAACCTAGGAACAAAATTGTCTTACATAGTGTTATCAATTAAATATTGATTTATTGATTACTGATTGATCTATTGGTTTTTTATTTTTTTGATTGATTGATTTTTGATTGATCCTTTTGAACAACTGATTTTAATTGATTGATTTTTTATTGATCAACTGATCTTAAATTGAAATGACATTGATAAACCAGGAACAAAATTGTCTTAGATAGCATTGGATTGTTGTAGGTTTTTTCAGGCTATATGGCCATGTTCTAGAGGCATTCTCTCCTGATATTTCGCCTGCAACTATGGCAAGCATCCTCAGAGGTAGTGAGGTCTGTTGGAACTAGGAAAAAGGGTTTATATATCTGTGGAATGACCAGGGTGGTTACAGATAGTATTCTCAATTAATTGTTGATTTATTTATTTTTGATAATCTATTGATTTTTGATTGATCAATTGCTTTTTGATTGATCCTTTTGAATGATTGATTTCAATTGTTTGATTTTTTTTATTGATCAACTGTTCTTTAAATTGAAATGACATTGATAAACCAGGAACAAAATTGTCTTACATTGTGTCATAAATTATTGGTTTATTGATTATTGATTGATCAATTCGTTTTCAATTTTTTGATTGTTCAATTGATTTTTGATTGATCCTTTTGACTGATTTTTGAATGGATCGACTGATCTTTAATTGATCGATTTGTTTTATTTTGTATTGACTGATTTTTACTGTGGGCTGTGGTCGCCATCCCATATCCAAGGCGTCTTTGGCAGGGAAACCTAAAGACCTTGTAAAACTCCAACTCCTATGATCCCATAGTATTGAGCCATGACCCTTAAAGCGACATCAAACTGCATTAATTGTACCCTGAAGACTTTGAATGGGATATTAAACAGCTTTGCGGTTGGAAAGTATGGAATTAAATATTACTCCATGGAAACCTGTCCAGGGTTTGCATTGCACAGCATCACATTATGAAAGGCATTCCAACCCAAGCAACAAGGGCTCAAAGGAAGACAAAGATGGCTACTTACTTGGGTCCATTTCCACCAGGACCTTCCACCCGTCCATCTTGTGGAGGTCGAGGGCGTAGAGGTCATTTAAGGTGAACTGGCGGTCTCCCACTTCAAACATCCCGCCCAAGACATAGAGCATCCCATGCTTCACCGCCAGCATGGCATTTGACCGCGGGCATGGCTCCACCAACTGGCCGGAGGCTTCATCCACCGCTTCCTCTTCTTCCTCTTCCTCCTCTGACTTCTGGACTTCGGCCTCCGGGACGGAGACCACTTCCTTGATGGTCATGATGGTGCCATCTTCAGCCACCACTTCCTTGACTATCTCCAACGGACCCGAAGGCGGCTGCAATGCGCCTTCACCATCTCCCTGCGGTTCCTCCATCGCTGCTCCCCGCCTTCGCTTCTTCTTATCAGACCTGGGGCCCTACGGGTGACCAATTTGGAGCATCGAGTAAAGAATCCATATTTTTTGCCACCAGCAACCTTCTTCGTAGTCATTCTCTCACAATGCAAAGTGGGTGGCTCATGGGCTCTTGTATAGTATTTACTGGGTATTTCTCCCCCAAAATACAGTCCTTTATATCCTCAGTCACTCAGGTCATACAGGGATTCTAGGAAGCTGATAGGACCTCTTATTCTACAAGAGTCGCCCACCTCTACTGCTATGATTATAACTATTGTTGTTGTTGTTGTTATTATTATATATTATTATTATTATTATTATTATTATTATATGCATTTATTTATACCTTGCATTATCTCCCCAAAGGGGATTCAAAGCAATTTGACATAAAGCATACAATTTAAAATATTATAATGATATGTATATTATTATATTTATACCCCACTTCATCTCCCCAAAGGGACTCAAAGCGGCTTGACATAAAAGCATTACCATACAATTTAAAATATTATTGTTATATTAATATATTATATATTATATAACTTGTATGCAGAACACATCATGCGATGTGCGGGGCTGGATGAATGCAAAGCTGGGGTGAAAATTGCTGGAAGAAACATTAACAACCTCAGATATGCAGATGACACCACTCTGATGGCCGAAAGCGGGGAGGAGCTGAGGAGCCTTCTAATCAAGGTGAAAGAAGAAAGCGCAAAAGCCGGGTTGCAGCTAAACGTCAAAAAAACCAAGATTATGGCAACAAGAATGATTGACAACTGGGAAATAGAGGGAGAAAACGTGGAGGCAGTGACAGATTTTGTATTTCTAGGTGCAATGCAGATGCAGACCGCAGACAGCTGAGGCTAGGAAATCAGAAGACGCTTACTTCTTGGGAGGAGAGCAATGTCCAATCTCGATAAAATAGTAAAGAGTAGAGACATCAGACTGGCAACAAAGATCCGACTAGTCAAAGCCATGGTATTCCCTGTAGTCACCTACGGATGTGAGAGCTGGACCTTAGGGAAGGCTGAGCGAAGGAAGATCGATGCTTTTGAGCTGTGGTGTTGGAGGAAAGTGCTGAGAGTGCCTTGGACTGCGAGAAGATCCAACCAGTCCATCCTCCAGGAAATAAAGCCAGACTGCTCACTGGAGGGAAAGATACTAGAGACAAAGTGAAGTACTTTGGCCACATCATGAGGAGACAGGAAAGCCTAGAGAAGACAATTATGCTGGGGAAAGTGGAAGGAAAAGGAAGAGGGGCCGACCAAGGGCAAGATGGATGGATGGCATCCTTGAAGTGACTGGACTGACCTTGAGGCAAGCTGGGGGTGGTAACGGCCGACAGGGAGCTCTGGCGTGGGCTGGTCCATGAGGTCACGAAGAGTCGGAGACGACTGAACAAATGAACAACAACAAATATTATTATTGTTGTTATTATTATTATATTTATTTATACCCTTCTTTATCTCCCCAAAGGGGATTCGAAGTGGCTTGACATAAAAGCATTACCATACAATTTAAAATATAATAATAATAGTAATAATATAATAGTAATATATTATTATTATTATTATTATTATTATTATTATTATTATTTATACCCCTCTTTATCTTCCCAAAGGGGACCCAAAGCAGCTTGACATAAAAGCATTACCATACAATAAATTATTATTATTATTATTATTATTATTATTATTATTATTATTATACTATCATTTTATTTATGTATACCCAGTTTTATTTCCCCAAAGGGGACCCAAAGCGGCTTGACATAAAAGAATTACAATTTAAAATATAATAATAATAATATATTATTATTATTATCATCATCATTTTATTTATGTATACCCAGTTTTATCTCCTCAAAGCGGCTTGACATAAAAGCATTACCATACAATTTAAAAGATATTATTATTATTATTATTATTATTATTATTATTATTATTATTAGCCTGCTTTATCTCTCTTAAGGGAACTCAAAGCGGCTTGACATAATTTAAAATCTAATAATAAAAATATACTATTATATAATATATTACTATTACTATTACTATTATTATTATTATTATTATTATTATTATTATTATTATTATTACTGTTATTATATATTATTATATTTATGTATACCCTGCTTTAACTCCTCAAAGGGGACTCAAAGCGGCTTGACATAAAAGCACTGGTAACCCATTTAAAATATACTTTAAAGTGCCGAAACCTTTATGGTCCAATAAGTCAGTAGCATCACGCGCCTAAAAAGGAGGATTCACCAAATGTGTTGCTTTACAGACCTTCAACAGTCCAGGAAACCACCGGTTCTTGGCCAGATCGTAGAAATAGATGTCGTTGAAGAAGTCTCCATCGAGGCGATCCTCCTCTTCCTCGTCATGGACCCCGCCAAAGAGGAGGGACCGGTGGTTGGGGCCCATAGCCACCGAGAAGCCTGACCGAGGTGTTGGCTTCACCCCAGAAGGGCTCAGCCGAGACCAGGACCATTTCTCTGGTAGGGAAAAGCATTCCAAAAGGGTAAATCAGCAACAGCAGCAGCAGTTTAGCAGGTTGGAAGCTTGCCAACAAAGACCACACTTGGCACACAGAGCCCCCATGACCCTAGATCCTACTGCAGTTTGGAGGAGGGCAGACCATGGATGATGGGACTTGAAGTACCTCCACTCACTTCCTGAGACCACTGCGACCCAATGACTGATCAAGACCAAACTTGTCACACAGAGCCCCCATGGCCCAGTCTACATCCTGTTGCAGTATGGAGAATGGACCACGGATGATGGGACTTGAAGTACATTCACTCACTTCCTGAGACCGCTGCGACCCTCATCCAATGACTGATCAAGCCCAAACTTGCCACGCAGAGCTCCCATGGCCCACTCTACATCCTGTTGCAGTATGGATAATGGACCACGGATGATGGGACTTGAAGTACCTTCACTCACTTCCTGAGACCGCTGCGACCCTCATCCAATGACTGATCAAGACCAAACTTGCCACGCAGAGCTCCCATGGCCCAGTCTACATCCTGTTGCAGTATGGAGAATGGACCACGGATGATGGGACTTGAAGTACCTTCACTCACTACCTGAGACCGCTGCAACCCTCATCCAATGACTGATCAAGACCAAACTTGCCACGCAGAGCTCCCATGGCCCAGTCTACATCCTGTTGCAGTATGGAGAATGGACCACGGATGATGGGACTTGAAGTACCTTCACTCACTACCTGAGACCGCTGCAACCCTCATCCAATGACTGATCAAGACCAAACTTGCCACGCAGAGCTCCCATGGCCCAGTCTACATCCTGTTGCAGTATGGAGAATGGACCACGGATGATGGGACTTGAAGTACCTTCACTCACTACCTGAGACCGCTGCAACCCTCATCCAATGACTGATCAAGACCAAACTTGCCACGCAGAGCTCCCATGGCCCAGTCTACATCCTGTTGCAGTATGGAGAATGGACCACGGATGATGGGACTTGAAGTACCTTCACTCACTACCTGAGACCGCTGCAACCCTCATCCAATGACTGATCAAGACCAAACTTGCCACGCAAAGCTCCCATGGCCCAGTCTACATCCTGTTGCAGTATGGAGAATGGACCACGGATGATGGGACTTGAAGTACCTTCACTCACTACCTGAGACCGCTGCAACCCTCATCCAATGACTGATCAAGACCAAACTTGCCACGCAAAGCTCCCATGGCCCAGTCTACATCCTGTTGCAGTATGGAGAATGGACCACGGATGATGGGACTTGAAGTACCTTCACTCACTACCTGAGACCGCTGCAACCCTCATCCAATGACTGATCAAGACCAAACTTGCCACGCAAAGCTCCCATGGCCCAGTCTACATCCTGTTGCAGTATGGAGAATGGACCACGGATGATGGGACTTGAAGTACCTTCACTCACTACCTGAGACCGCTGCAACCCTCATCCAATGACTGATCAAGACCAAACTTGCCACGCAAAGCTCCCATGGCCCAGTCTACATCCTGTTGCAGTATGGAGAATGGACCACGGATGATGGGACTTGAAGTACCTTCACTCACTACCTGAGACCGCTGCAACCCTCATCCAATGACTGATCAAGACCAAACTTGCCACGCAGAGCTCCCATGGCCCAGTCTACATCCTGTTGCAGTATGGAGAATGGACCACGGATGATGGGACTTGAAGTACCTTCACTCACTACCTGAGACCGCTGCAACCCTCATCCAATGACTGATCAAGACCAAACTTGCCACGCAGAGCTCCCATGGCCCAGTCTACATCCTGTTGCAGTATGGAGAATGGACCACGGATGATGGGACTTGAAGTACCTTCACTCACTACCTGAGACCGCTGCAACCCTCATCCAATGACTGATCAAGACCAAACTTGCCACGCAGAGCTCCCATGGCCCAGTCTACATCCTGTTGCAGTATGGAGAATGGACCACGGATGATGGGACTTGAAGTACCTTCACTCACTACCTGAGACCGCTGCAACCCTCATCCAATGACTGATCAAGACCAAACTTGCCACGCAAAGCTCCCATGGCCCAGTCTACATCCTGTTGCAGTATGGAGAATGGACCACGGATGATGGGACTTGAAGTACCTTCACTCACTACCTGAGACCGCTGCAACCCTCATCCAATGACTGATCAAGACCAAACTTGCCACGCAGAGCTCCCATGGCCCAGTCTACATCCTGTTGCAGTATGGAGAATGGACCACGGATGATGGGACTTGAAGTACCTTCACTCACTACCTGAGACCGCTGCAACCCTCATCCAATGACTGATCAAGACCAAACTTGCCACGCAGAGCTCCCATGGCCCAGTCTACATCCTGTTGCAGTATGGAGAATGGACCACGGATGATGGGACTTGAAGTACCTTCACTCACTACCTGAGACCGCTGCAACCCTCATCCAATGACTGATCAAGACCAAACTTGCCACGCAGAGCTCCCATGGCCCAGTCTACATCCTGTTGCAGTATGGAGAATGGACCACGGATGATGGGACTTGAAGTACCTTCACTCACTACCTGAGACCGCTGCAACCCTCATCCAATGACTGATCAAGACCAAACTTGCCACGCAGAGCTCCCATGGCCCAGTCTACATCCTGTTGCAGTATGGAGAATGGACCACGGATGATGGGACTTGAAGTACCTTCACTCACTACCTGAGACCGCTGCAACCCTCATCCAATGACTGATCAAGACCAAACTTGCCACGCAAAGCTCCCATGGCCCAGTCTACATCCTGTTGCAGTATGGAGAATGGACCACGGATGATGGGACTTGAAGTACCTTCACTCACTACCTGAGACCGCTGCAACCCTCATCCAATGACTGATCAAGACCAAACTTGCCACGCAAAGCTCCCATGGCCCAGTCTACATCCTGTTGCAGTATGGAGAATGGACCACGGATGATGGGACTTGAAGTACCTTCACTCACTACCTGAGACCGCTGCAACCCTCATCTAATGACTAATCAAGTCCAAACTTGGCACACAGAGCCCCCATGACCCACTCTACATCCTGGTGCTGTTTGGAGGATGACGGACCATGGATAATGGGACTTGCAGTACCTTCACTCATTTCCTGAGACCACAGCGAGCCACATAAATAACTGATAAATCCCAACCTTGGCACACAATGCCTTTCTGAAATAACCCAGGCAGCGCCATGTTTTAAATAAAAGAAGCAAAGAGAAGCAACAGAGGAAAGGGCTTTCCCAGACAACTAACTCACCTGCCTCTCTTATTTCCTTGATGAGGACTACAAACTTGTGCAAGGATGTGATTGCGTTCCAACACAAGAAAGAGAAGGTCGGAAGTGGCTATGAAAGGGCAACAATCTATGAAAGGGCAAAGATCCAAACCGAACTAAACTTGAGGAGGGCCAGTGACTTAAAAGAAATTGCAACTGCAACACACACAGAAGTGTGCCACATTCAACACCTGGTTCTCTCCCATTTAATATATGGTGGCCAAATGTGGTGGAAATGGGAGCTATGAGTCGTCGTATTCCTTCAAGCCATTTCTGACTTATGGCAATGATGATGGACTTTTCTTTGCCTTTGAGTCTGAGAGAGTGTGACCTGCTCAAGGTGGATTTCCATGGCTATTAAAGCCTGGTTTCCTGAGTCTTCGCCCAATGCTCAAATCATGACATGGAACTACCAAAACATAGAGCAAAACATCTCCAAAGTACTTGGAAGCCCATTTGACTTGATGGGCTAACCTCTTGCTTCAATATGAAGAGAAGTTCGGCTTTGAACAATCCTGATAGCTAAGTTTATTCTTATCGGAAGATGTAAACAATTTGTAGTTCATGGGACCAACATGGATGTATTTATATTTCTGGCGAGAAGCCTCTCTAATCTAACCCTAAGAGAGACAGAACGAGGACCATTGGCCAGAAGTTTATCTCCTCTTTTACGAAGGAGACCGCTCTCCTTGAAAAGCAAAATTTCCAGGCGTGTCATGCAATTGAGCCAAGCTGCAACGGGATTCGAACCCAGCTCAAGCCCTGATTCCACTTACCTGGGCTGCTTTCAACCTTTAGCAGGAACATGTCTGAGTGGAGGGTCCCTTTGTCCACATCTTTCTTGATTCTCTGCAAAACAAAGACGGAGGGATGTGAGAGGAGAGAGGAGATTCCATCTGAACATTAGGAAGAACTTCCTGACTGTGAGAGCCGTTCAGCAGTGGAACTCTCTGCCCCGGAGTGTGGTGGAGGCTCCTTCTTTGGAAGCTTTTAAGCAGAGGCTGGATGGCCATGTGTCAGGGGTGATTTGAATGCAATATTCCTGCTTCTTGGCAGGGGGTTGGACTGGATGGCCCATGAGGTCTCTTCCAACTCTTTGATTCGATGATTCTATGATCACACAGCAGCTTTTTACACACAGCAGCCTTCGCGCACAATTTATTATTTATTTATTTACTATATTTGTATACCACTCTTCTCAGCCCTCGGGCGACTCAAAGTGGTCAAAAGCAACAACAAAAACAAAAACAAAAGTAACAAACTATTATCCACTCCCAAACAGTCTAAGCTTTCCTAAACTGTCCCTTAGTTTACAAAGTTTGAGGACCCCTGCTCTAAATCCATATGGGGTTGTGTCTTTCGTTGTAGGGATGCCACAATGGGAAGGTGAGGGGACTACAAACCAGATCCTATAGGAAACGGTTGGGAAAGCTGAGTATGCTGAGCTTATAGAGCAGGGGTCCTCAAACTAAGGCCCGGGGGCCAGATGCGGCCCTCCAAGGTCATTTGCCCGGCCCTCACTCGGTCAACCTAAATCTGTAACAACTTGAAAGCACACAACAACAACAACAATCCTATCTCATCAGCCAAAAGCAGGCCCACACCCTATTGAAATACTAATACATTTATATTTGTTAAAATTGTTCTTCATTTTAATTATTGTATTGTTTTTAAGTGGTTTTTGCACTACAAATAAGATATGTGCAGTGTGCAATGGAATTCATTCATATTTTTTTTCAAATTATAATCTGGCCCTCCAACAGTTTGAGGCACTGTTCAAAAAGTTTGAGGACCCCTGTTATAGAGGAATCACAAAAGAAACTAAGAAATGTTCTCCATATTGGCAATCCTCAAATCTCTGAAAGACTTGCAGAAGGCAGAACAGAATTGTTCTCTGATGCCCCAGAAGGCAGGCGAACAACATGGGGGAAAAATTCCAGGGAAACAGGTTTTAGCTAAACATTGGATAAATTTCGTCAAAATAGCATCAGACGACCAATAGCAAAACGAACATACTATTGTGTTCTCTTACACTGAAAAGTATAGTACAAGCATGAGACAACTTGGGCCCTCCCTTCAGGTGTTTTGGACTCCCACTCCCACATTTCCTAACAGCTGGTAGGCTGTTAGGAATTGTGGGAGTTGGAGTCCAAAAACACCCAGAGGGCCCAAGTTTGCCCATGCCTGGTCTATAGATCTAAAGAAAAAAGGAAACAATCCAAACTGCACAAAAAATATTAATTTTTTTATTACACTTACATTAATAACATTCAGTGTAAACAGTATACAAAATAATGAGTATTTTACAAACACTTAATTTTTTTTTTAAAAGTACTTCAACTGTTGTGTAGAGTTGGAAATTTTACCAGGTATAATTTGTCATGCAAGTAGTAGCATTTGTTGAAATTCCCTCTTCTATACAACTATTGAGACAGCCCTGTCCTCTTTGGGGTATGAATAAATATAACAACAACACCAACAACAACTTTGGCACAAGCCAATCAAGGGGGTCCCAGTGGTGATAAGCACACTTGGTGCAGTGCCTTAAGACCTTGGCCTGCACTTAAACACAATTGGCACTGACAAAATTACCATCTGACAGCTGCAAAATGCCACCCTACTCTGATCTGTGTGCATTATTTTCCGATACATTACGCAGTCCTAGACACTTGGGAAGTGTCCAACGTGTGATCCAATACAACAGTCAGAAGAGCGATCTTGTTTGCTGTGTACTAATAATAATAATCCTCTGGGAAGAGCCCGATATTCAGAGACGAATCCCAGGCACTTGGACCTCATGTGCATGTGTGTTGTCATGTACATGTAAATTAATAATAATAATAATTTGGCATCTTCTTGCCTTAGTTGCTGAGTGAATAATAATAATAATTATTATTATTATTATTATTATTATATTTATTTATACCCCACTTTATATCTCCTGAAGGAGATTCAAGAACTGCTATTGAAGGCGACAGTGCTGAGGGTAAATCTTATCACACATCCAAACTTTCTGACAAAAACATGCATAGGATTGCCTTACATGGGGACATCCTTCATATGTGGCTTTAGGACTTGTACAGAACATGCAACTGGACCATATTTTTACTTTTCATCTATGGATGCATCCACACTGCAAAAAAGAAAAGAAAGGCGACACTCACCTGCTTGGAGTAGCCTCCATAGACCACGATGTTGCCCTCAGGAGAGATGGCCAAGTGGCAACCGGATCTTGGCGCTGGAGACAACCCCGAAGGAGACACCTTGGACCAAGTAAAGGTGTCCAGGTTAAAGGCATAGACGTCATTGTAGTAGATGTAATCTCTGCCCATAAGAAAAGCAAGAGGCAATGGTTACAAGTATGTAATAATGTATGTGTCATGGGATATGCAGGTTCATAAAGCGATTTATAGCTTCCAAATCACGACCTCCCCGAACTACTGCAAGCTGGATAGCAAATGTCTCAGAGGCAAGCAAAATATACAGCAGTCTTTTCACATAAAAACATGTACTTCAGCCCATCTATCAGCAAAGTCCAACTGCTAGCATCTGACCTTATCTACACACACTGTTCTAGTAAACTCACAGATTCAGGTTTTCATCCAAAATATCCGGAGACTTTAATCTTCACCATTACAATATATACAAATATGCAAACAGGATACACAGATCCTAATGCCTTGTATTTGCAAACTATCAGAGTAATCAGATAGTCACATACAACATAGGCAGATACTCAGACTGAGTCAAGCAGGAGAGAGAAAGATGTATTTTTTTCTTACCCCTTTTGTAGCCACCTGTTGAAAAGTCATCAGCAAGGGACACTGGCTGATGGAACCCCTTTGCAATAACTCTCATATGGTTATGACTTCATCATGACATTCATAGTCATACCCAGGTGCTATCAGTGCACATGTTCATCAAACTATTTTTTTCCTATGAATAGAAATGCTTTCCCATTTCTATCTAATAGTATGTTGGGTAGACCCATAAAAGTAACCTCCAACATCAGAGATGAGAATTATCAGGTTGGGCTTCATCCTATCCTTCGTGGTTCCCCTTGTGGAACCATATATCCCAGGCAGAACACATACTAATTTCCTTACTTTCTAATTGCTGCAATGATAATAATACTAATAATTACAACTGCTCTTCCCAACCCTTGACTTGACATTTCCCTATAGTTCTGGTGGATGGAACATCAACAGCCTATATCAAAAACCAATCAATCAATCAACCTCTCGATGAGCCTTCGCCAACAAAAGTGTTTGGTATTGAATGGAAAAATTCAGATGAAACTGCAATAGAGGAAATGATGGCCCACTCAAGCTTTCCCAATGGAAGAAACAAATGACACATTCATGGAAGCCCCCAAATAATAACAACCATAGTAGTAAGTTGTAATTACTATTACTCTTCCCAATCTTCACTTGACCCCTTTTCTCAATTTCTGGTGGTTGGAGGGTCAACATCTCATATCAAAACCCAATTAAGTTTTCTCAATAAAAGAAAAAAACATGGCGGACCTACCTTGTGCTTCCGTGGAAGCTCCCAAATAACACAGCAGTACTATAATCATTTGTTATAATTACTATTACTTTTCCCAACTTTTACTTGACCTGTTTCTCCATTTCCAGTAGATGGAAGGTCAATGGCCCAAATCAAAAACTAATCAATCAATCAATTTCCCAAAGAGTTTTGGCAGAAAAAGCCAACAAGTGTCTTGTATTGATTGGTAAAATCCAGAACAGAGTGCAAGAGAGGTGATGGCCCAAGGTCTGATGGGTTTTAGTCAAGCTTTTCCAATGGAAGAAACACATGGTGGACCAACTTTGCTCCTTCGTGGAAGCCCAGCAAAAATAATTATCATAGTAGTAGCTATCATTACTACTGCTCTTCCCAACTCTTACTTGTCTCTTTTTCTCCATTTCTGGTGGTTGGAAAGTCAACAACACGTATGAATAACAAAGCTTTCCCAATAGAAGCAAAAACATGGCAGACCAACCTTGTGCTTCCATGGAACTTCCCAAATAATAATAATAATCACAGCAGTAGTTATAATTACTATTACTCTCCCCAACCCTTACTTGACCTGTTTCTCAATTTCCGGTAGATGGAAGGTCAATGGCCCATAGCAAAAACCAATCAATCAATCAATTTCTTGATGAGCTTTGGCAGAAAAAGCCAATGAGTCTTATATTGATCATTAAAATCTTGGACGTAGTGCAGTAGGTGATGGCTCACCTACTGATGGATTTTAGTCAAACTTTCCCAATGGAAGAAACAAGATGGCGGACCAACCTTGCACTTTCATGGAAGCCGCCAAAGATGACCAGCTGCCTCTTGCAGGCTACCATGCGGTGTCCGCTCCTACCTGAAGGAGCTCCAGGGGCCCTGAAAGAGAAGCAACAATGGAAGGGAAGGGAAGAAAGTTGAATCTAGTTCCTCCCTAGGAATTACTTAGATCCTCCATTGCAACCCCATGGTAGAGACAGGGGTGGCTGAAGCAATAGGCAAGATACGCATTTGCGTATAGCGTGAATCCTCAAGGGGCGCTCTTGAGGATCTCCGTATATGAACATAATATTTTAAGTAAACTTCTGGTTTGTAAGGTAACCCTTTTATTCACCTCTATCTTCTACCTTTGAATTTTCAGAGATTGGTTTGGGGGGGGGGAGGGGGCGCCAAAATACTGTTTCCTTACACTTGAAAATTACTTAGGGCCGGCCCTGGGTAGATGCACCTTTACTGTATGCTTTTGGACTTTATTTATCCACCTCAAATGACATTCCCGCCTCCTCTTCACCAACATCTGTGCCGCTGAGAAAGCCTTATGTGGGCGGCTGTCTGCCTTTTGTTTTAACGCAATCCTTGCTAAGTGTGAAAATGGGGAGGAAAAATATTTTTAAAATCCTTTTCTCTTCCCTCCCTTCTTCCTTTATTCCTGGCATTTCTATTGCATTTTGCAGAAGATGAAAATGGCAGCCAAAAAATAGTATGAGCAAAAAAGGGCCAACACATCACACAAGGAAAAAGTTTGAGTTATTACAAGGATTTTAGCTATTTATTTTTTTAATAGCCCTTCGTTTGATTCTATTTGTGGGTTTTCAGGTGTAAATTGTCTTATTTTCATGTTGTTCGCTGCTTTGCGTTTTCTTAAAGAGAGGAATGCATAATATAAATACAATAAAAAGGATTATTATTGTAATTATTATTAATAACAACATAAAAAATAATAAATGTATTATCGCAAAACATATTATAATATAATAATAATAATAATAATAATAGTAATGTAATCTTCTATCTATACACATAATAAAAGTGAAAATGTGTATGTAAGTGAAAATGTGTATGTGGCAGAGGTGTCCACTTACACAGCCTCCCGCCTCCACAAACAGCTATAACTCACAGTGCTGAAAAGCCACCAAAAGCCCTCCCTCCAAGGACATTTCAGGTTATAGCGAGTGCCATGAACATGTAGCCCAACCCCTGCCATGCCCTTCCCAAGTGCCATACTGTCCACCCCCCAAAGAATTTCATTCAGGGACAATTTCATCCTAGATGTTCTGTTTTTCCTCTGGAATGGACATCCCAGGGTTTCTTACATTAGTGTGAAATTTGCATGACCCCGCCCACTGCCTTTTCCTTAACCCTTTCCTAGTCTTTCCTACGGCACACAGCAAACAGGAATTGATCAGCAACTGAACAATAGGTTTGGGAAGAATTCACCATGATTTAGAGGAGTTGTCGTTCACCTACACCCAAAGAGCACAGTGAATACAACCAACGACGGATCTGGACCAAACTTGCAACAGATGATGGGATTTGCAGTACCTTCACTCACTTCCAGCAACCACTGCAAGCCCAACGAATGACAGACCGGGACCACAATTGGCAAACAGACTCCCCATGACCCACTATACGTCCTGGTGCGGTTTGGGGGAGGATGGACCACAGATGATGGGATTTGCAGTACCTTCATGCGCATCCTCCCCCAACCCTCCCCAGGAAATAAAGTGTGTCATAGGGAGTTTGGTCCAGGTTCATCAGTCAATAATACAGTTTTAATATAATAGTTATAATTCTGGATATATAATAATAACAATATAAAGCAATATAACAATAAAACATAATAATTATAATAAAACATAACTATAATAAAATACAATAATAAATATACTACTATATTAATATAATAGCAATCTATATAAATAAAAATGTAATGTTCGTTTGTGGGATTACAGAACTCAAAAACCACTGGACAAATTGACACCAAATTTGGACACAAGACACCGAACAACCCAATGTCTGTCCTTCACTCAAAAAAACTGATTTTGTCATTTGGGAGTTGTAGTTGCTGGGGTTTATAGTTCACCTACAATCAAAGAGCATTCTGAACCCCACCAATGACGGAATTGAACCAAACGTGGCATAACAGGACTTCCATGACCAACAGGAAACACTAGAAGGGTTTGGTGGGCACTGACCTTGAATTTGGGAGTTGTAGTTTACCTGCATTCAGAGAACACTGGATGATGGATCTGGACCAAACTTGGCACAAATATTCCATATGCCCAAATATGAAAACAGATGGAGTTTGGGAGAAATAGACCTTGACCAGTTGTAGTTACTGGAATTTATAGTTCACCTACAATCAAAGAGCATTCTGAACCCCACCAACGACAGAACTGGGGCAAACTTCGCACACAGAACCCCCATGACCAACGGAAAATATTTAAGGCCATCTAGTCCAACTCCCTTCACAAGAGCAAGAAAATTGCCCTCCTGACAAAGAACCATCCAGCCATAGATATAGATAGATATGATTCACACACACACAGATATAGTATCATAGATGTGAAAGGGACCCCTAAAGAAGGGCAATGATATGTTGCATGTTCCAGAGGAGGCAAACCAGACAATATCCACATCAACATTGACAAGGAAACAGGAAGAAATACTGTTTACCCACAAGCATAAAGACATTACATATATTAAAAATCAACACTTTCTCATTACTTTATTTTCCAGATCACCAGACTGGGCCACAGCAACGCGTGGCAGAGGACAGCTAGTATATAATAAGGATGATGATGTTGATGATTTTGAGAACTTCGTCTCTTCATATTTATGGTTCCGATTCTACGATTTTGAATGGCAAAAATAATAGCTGGGTGGTAGAGTAATGCACTCACTTGATCTGCTCCCAGGTCTTGGTGGCCAAATGCAAGACCCAGAGGTCTTTATAATGGTAAAATTGCTCTCCGTTTGGCGAAGCGAATTCGCCGCCAAAGACCCAAAGCTGACCACCTCCTTGAGCCACTGCAACAGCCTTAAAGAAGAAAAAGAGAGATGTTTAAAAGGTTTAAAACACTTTTGGAAAACTACATTGATTACCTTCCAGTCGTCCCTCCACATTTGCAGGTAAACCATTCGCATATTCCATCCTTGCAATGAATCAGAAAACCATGTCCTCTTTAGGCAAATGAATATGGCTTCCATGAGTGCCATCTAGCGGACATCATCCTCTATGACAATTTGATAAGGACCCTAAGGTCATTCTATAATGGGATTTTTTTTCTCTTCCCGAGGCTGAGAGAGTGTGACTCTCTCAGCCTGAGCTGGGATTCGGACCCAGGTCTCCAGTGCTTGGATCCAACACCGAAATCACTACATTATGTCCACTTTAATGCAATGGAATTCTGGGAGTTGTAGATATATAAGGTCTTGAGCCTTTACTGACAAAGAGTACAAACTACAACTCCCATAGGATCCTAGGAGTTGTAGTTTTACACGATCTTGAGCCTTCTCTACCCAAGAGTGCAAACTACAACTCCAATAGGATCCTGGGAGTTGTAGTTTCACAAGACCTTGAGTCTTTGCTGACAAAGAGTGCAAACTACAACTCCCTTGAGCTCCTGGGAATTGTAGTTTTACAAGGTCTTGACCGTCTCTGCTCAAGAATGCAAACTACAACTCCCACAGGATCCTGGGAGATGTAGTTTCACAATGCCTTGAGACTTTTCTGCCAAAGAGTGCAAACTACAACTCCCTTGAGATCCTGGGAGTTGTAGTTTTACAAGGTCTTGAGCCTTCTCTGCTCAAGAATGCGAACTACAACTCCCATAGGATCCTGACAGCTGTAGTTTTACAAGGTCTTGAGTCTTCCAATGAGAGCAAACTACAACTCCTAAGGTTATATAACACTGCACCATGGCACCAAAAGTGGTGTCAAACCACATTATATTGGTAGTCTATACGCACCTGGTGGGCACATCGCGGCGGAGGAGGGTTCGGGATGTCAACTTTAGTCCAGCTGTCCTTCCGAATATTGTAAATATAGAGATCGTTGTAAAGGAAGGTCTAAAGGGAGGCATCAAAACATAAAGAGAACACTGAAAGAATAAGTTGTTGGCAGGGGACACAAAATGCATTTTATTTTATTGCATTAAGTCTTGCCTTATATCACAAGCTACTAACTAGCACAAGGTACAGATGAAACTAACCCATATCAGCTGGGAATTATTTATATACAGTCACAACAACAAGGAATCATTTAACAGTCTATTAAAGCACATTAAATGATATGAAAATGAAAATAAGTGTTAAGGAAAGAAGGAAGCAATGAAATAATAAAAGGAAGGAAGGAAGATATTACAAATAGAGGAAAATCAGAATGTAGCTAAATCCCGTATTAAGTATATGAGCAAAATATTTAATCCTTTTTTATTTACAACCAATTATAAGGTTTAGGAAGGGTCCTATTGGCAAAGCATTATAATAATTCTCACCCGCTTCATAGGAAACCTGCTACAAAACAGGAGCTTTTTTATTGAGTTCAGGGACAGAGAAGGAGATGGCGAACACAGAAGAACGGCCTGCCTCAGAGGAGCGTGCTTGCGCCATCAATGTTTAACATTTACACAAATGACCAGCCACTGCCAGAAGGGACAGAGTTTAATCTATGCTGATGATCATGCCATCACCACTCAAGCAGGGAGCTTTGAGATGGCTGAACAGAAGCTCTACAAAGCTTTAGGTCAGTAGTACTCAACCTGGGTGTCACGACCCCCAGAAGGGTCGACTGGCCATTTAGGAAGGATCGCGAAGCCCCCTCCTTTTGCCCCAACCCCTTCACTTCTTCAAAATGGCGTGGTGCCAGGGAAGAAGCTCTCCGCTAGGCTACGCCACCTGGTGCAGTCTCAAACGTCTGGCTCCTGCTGTTTGCCAGGCCACAGAAGGTGGGAGCAAGGTGAAAGACTCTCTACAAGTCTAGGTCATGTGGCGCAGCCTCGATCACCTGGCTCCCGCTCCAAGTAACAGCACCACTCGGATGTCAATGTATATTTTCCCCAAGCCTCTCCAGTATTTTCTGTTGGTCATGGAAGTTCTGTATGCCAAGTTTGATTCAATTCCATGGTTGCTGGAGTTCAGAATGCTCTTTGATGGCAGGGGAACTATACATCCCAGCAACAGCCAAATGCCATGGTCTATTTTCCCCAAGCTTCTCCAGTATTTTCTGTTGGTCATTGGAGTTCTGTGTGCCAAGTTTGGTCCAGCCCTGTAATTCGTGGGGGATCTCAGTGGTCTGTGGAAGTCAGAGCTGAATTGGTTGAAGGTAATGCAAATCCCATCATCTGTTGTCCACACTCCTCCAAACACATTGTTTTTGTGATTAATCACTATGCTTTAATTATGTTCAATTTGTAGCAATGAAAACACATCCCGCATATTAGATTTTTACATTAGAATTCATAAGAGTAGCAAAAATATTTATGAAGTAGCAACGAAAATGTGGTTGGGGGTGACCACAACATGAGGAATTAGAAAGGTTGAGAACCACTGCTTTAGGTACTCTTACTGCCTATTACAGGGGAAACCATCTGTTTAAAGCACAGGCACGTGCTTTTCATCTTAAGAACAGACAAGCATCTCGAGCTCTGAGGATGACCTGGGAAGGAATCCCAGCACACCCAAATACCTGGGAGTTACCATGGACTGTGCTCTGACTTATAAGAAGCACTGCCTGAATGTCAAGAAAAAAGTGGGCACTAGAAAAAACACCATACGAAAGCTGACTGGCATAACCTGGGGATCACAACTAGACACAGTGAAGACATCTGCCCTTGCACTTTGCTACTATGCTGCTGAATACGCATGCCCAGCGTGGAATACATCTCACCACGTTAAAACAGTGGATATGGCTCTTAATAAGACATGCCGCATTATCACAGGATGTCTGTGTCCTACACCACTGGAGAAAATACACTGTCTAGCCAATATTGCACCACCAGACATCAGTCGGGAAGTAGCAGCCAATCATGAAAGGACCAAGGCAGTTACATCCCTGGCCCATCCCCTGTTCCGATATCAGCCAGCATGCCAATGCCTTACATCAATAAATAGTTTTCTAAGAACTACGGAGGCACTCGCAGGGACACCTCAGCAAGCAAGAGTCCAAAAGTGGCAGGCTAAAACCTGTAACCTCAATCCAGGGCCTTGCAAAACTATATCTCCCAGGATTCCCAAGCACTAAACCAGGGCAGTTCAAGTGGGGTCAAAACTGCAATAATTCTACAGTGTAGATGCACCCAAAGTTTCCATCTTTGCAGAAAAGCAAGATAGGCTTAGAAAGGGAAATGGTAGAAGGAGACAAAGCACAAAAATGTCTGAATCCATATCCTAAAATTAAATGAGCTGCTGAAATATTAATGATGGCTCAAACATCACTCTTGACGCTTTTTAATGAAATTCACTAAAAGAGGAACATGACGGCAGTCCAGAGATAATGGCCATCTTTTATAGCTTCAGGTCTTTATTAAAGGGGTGTGTGTGTATATATATATATATACACACACACACACACACACACACAGAGTAGCCGTCCCATGCCACGCATTGCTGTGGCCCAGTCTGTGTACATGTGTTTTGTGTGTGTGTCTGTGTGTGTATATATATATATGTATGTATATATTTGTGTATATGTATGCTTGCATATATACTGTATATGTGGTTTTGCACATGCGTTCTAATGTATTTTTCTTTTTTTTTTTGGCATTTTAAGTCTCTTCTGCTGTGTTTTTCAGTGTTTTTATGAGTGATGGTCATTCGTTGGCCTGATACGTGTATTATGCCCAAATTTGGTGTCAATTCATCCAGTGGTTTTTGAGTTATGGTAATCCCACAAAGGAACATTACATTTTTATTTATATAGATACACTAGCCATCCCCTGCCACATGTTGCTGTGGCCCACATGGGGGTTCTGTGTGTGTGTGTGTGTGGGGGGGGGGTTGTTGGCCCAATTCTATCGGTGGGGTTCAGAATGCTCTTTGACTGTAGTGAACTATAAATCCCAGCAACTACAACTCCCAAATGTCAAGATTCTATTTCCCCCAAACTCCACCAGTGTTCATATTTGGGCATATTGAGTATTCCTTTAGAGTTTGGAACAACAGCATTTCCCTTCTAAACCCACAATGCGCAGAGGAACACAAATCAAGAAAAAATGAAAATAGAAATACTTTACTTTTTGGCCATTGAAATATTCACCTCCAAAGAGAATGAGTTCGTCTTTCTCGGGATGTGACGACAGAGATGCGTTGAGCCTGCAGGTGGAAAAAAAAATGGAGAAAAAGGGTCTTCCACACTGCACATGGCAGTGGAAGTGGTATCAAACTGAGTTAATTCTACAATGTAGTTGCACTTTGCACGTCTTACCTTGGTGAAGGCGGAGAGCAAGGCGTCTCCAGCACCTGAGTCTTTTTTGCATCCAGAGTCTGAAATTCTGCAATTAGGGCTTCCAAATCTTCCTACATAAAGTAAATGCATTCGTTATAAGGAACGGCAAAACATGGAAAGTGCTCCCACCTCCTTCCCACCTATTTAAGAGGCATCTATTTATTTATTTTGTTGTTGTTGTTGTTATATTATTAATGCTGGGACTCCACAGGATTGAGATTTTAAGCTGGTATCAAACTGCATTATTATTATTATTATTATTATTATTATTCCTGGGATTATTATTATAATTCCTGGGATTCCATGGCATTGAACTTTTAAAGGAGCATCAAATTGCATTATTATTATTATTATTATTATTATTATTATTATTATTATTGTTATAATTATTCCTGGGATTATTATTATAATTCCTGGGATTCCATGGTATTGAACTATTAAAGGAGCATCAAACTTTATTATTATTATTATTATTATTATTATTATTATTATTATTATTCCTGGGATTCCATGGCATTGAACTATTAATGGAGCATCAAACTGCATTATTATTATTATTATTATTATTATTATTATTATTATTATTCCTGAGATTATTATCATAATTCCTGGGATTCCATGGCATTGAACTTTTAAAGGAGCATCAAACTTCATTATCATTATCATTATCATTATTATTATTTGATGCGACAAGATTACTCCACAGCCAACAAGATCACTCTGCTGGCTTTTGTATTTGATCACACGTCAGACACTTCCCAAGTGTCTAGGACTGTGTGATGTATTGGTGAATAATGCGTATAGATTCAAGTAGGGTGGCCTTTTGCAGCTGATAGGTGGTAATTTTGTCAGTGCCGATTGTTTTTAAGTGCAGGCCAAGATCTTGAGGCACTGCACCCAGTGTGCTGATCACCACTGGGACCCCCTTGACTAGCTTGTGCCAGAGTCTTTGCAGTTCGATCTTTAAATCCTTAGATCGTGTAAGCTTTTCCAGTTGCTTCTTGTCCATTCTGCTGTCGCCTAGGATTGCAACATCAATGATCGGGAGTCTTGCGCTCCAAAACTCTGTCAGTCTGAATTCGGAAGTCCCAGAGTAGTTTGACGTGTTCATTTTCTGTAACTTTTTCCAGCTTGTGATCCTACCAGTTCTTTGTCGCAGGCCGATGGTATTTGTGGAACAAGTTCCAATGGATCATCCCAGCAACACCGTTATGCCTCTGCTTGTCGTCTGTCTGCACAATCTTCTTGCAGCAGCCGAGGATGTGATCCATCATTTCGCCTGCTTCCTTGCAGAGTCTACACTTGGGAATTGTGATCGACTTTTCAATTCTGGCTTTGATGGCATTTGTTCTTGGGCTGTAAGAATTACACCCTCTGTTTCCTTTTCCAAAGTTTCATTTGTTAGCCATATCTATATTTTTTCTTCGTCATTTTTGCTCTCAATTTTTACCAGGAACTGTCCATGGCGAGAGAGCCACATTTTGCCAATTTTCTCTTTTGCTCTGCATTGTATTTCTACAGTATTCCCTCTTTGTCTTTTGCACTTGAAGCAGTTTTCTCCTATTGACTTCCCTCAATGTTGGTTCTTGACTGCCTTTCTCATCATCTGCCAGTGCATGTTTCTCTTCTTCTACCATTTGTTTCACTTGCAGAAGCCCTCTCTCTGCCTCCTGATTTTCTGGACAGGCAAAGCCTGTTGACATCACTACGTGGGTGTCAGGAGGAGTGGATTGTCATTGTCATCATCATTATTCCTGGGATTATTATTATAATTCCTAGGACTCCACATCATTGAGCTTTCAAAGTGGCATCAAACTGCATTATTATTATTATTATTATTATTCCTGGGAATCCACAGCATTGAGCCTTTACATTGGCTTCAAACTGCATTATTATTACTTTATTATTATTATTATTCCTAGAATTATTAAATCTGGGTTTATTAAATCTGGGGTTATTACTATTCCTGGGATTCTTTAGAGTTGCATCAAATTGCATTATTATCACAGTACTATTATTATTATTTCTGGAATTATTAAATCTAGGATTATTATCATTATTAATCATGGGATTCCACACCATTGAGCTTTGAAAGTGGGAGCAAATTGCATTATTATTACTTTATTGTTATTCCTGGAATTATTAAATCTGGGATTATTATTATTATTAATCCTGGGATTCCACAACATTGAGCCTTTACAGTGGCATCAGACTGCATTATTATTGCATTATTATTACTATTATTATTATTTTTGGAATTATTAAATCTGGGATGATGATGATTATTGTTATTATTATTAATTCTGAGATTCCACAGCATTGAGTCTTTAGAGTTGCATCAAACTGCATTATTATTACATTATTGTTATTATTATTATTATTATTATTATTATTATTATTTGTCGTGTCAGGAGCAAGTCGCTTCTGGTGTGAGAGAATTGGCCATCTGCAAGGATGTTGCCCAGGGGACGCCTGGATGATTTGATGTTTTTATCATCCTTGTGGGAGGCATCTCTCATGTCCCCTCATGAAGAGCTGGAGCTGATAGAGGGAGCTCATCCGCCTCTCCCCGGAGTCAAACCTGCGACCTGTCGGTCTTCAGTCCTGCCGGCACAGGGGTTTAACCCATTGCGCCACCGGGGGCTCAATTATTATTATTATTATTATTATTATTATTAATCATCATGGGATTCCACAGCATTGAGCTTTCAAAGTGGCAGCAAACTGCATTATTATTGCTTTATTGTTATTATTATTATTATTTCTGGAATTATTAAATCTGGGATGATGATTATGATTAATCATGGGATTCAACAGCATTGAGCTTTCAAAGTAGCAGCAAATTACATTATTATTATTATTTTATTATTCCTGGAATTATTAAATCTGGGATTATTATTATTATTATTAATCCTGGGATTCCACAACATTGAGCCTTTACAGTGGCATCAAACTGCATTATTATTGCTTTATTATTATTATTATTTCTGGAATTATTACATCTGGGATGATTATTATTATTAATTCTGGAATTCCACAGCATTGAGTCTTTAGAGTTGCATCAAACCGCATTATTATTACATTATTATTATTATTATTATTATTAATATTATTTCTGGAATTAGTAAATCTAGTATTATTATTATTATTAATGGGATTCAACAGCATTGAGCTTTCAAAGTGGCAGCAAATTGTATTATTATTACTTTATTATTATTCCTGGAATTATTAAATCTGGGATTACTATTATTATTATTATTATTATTATTATTAATCCTGGGATTCCACAACATTGAGCCTTTACAGTGGCATCAAACTGCATTATTATTGCTTTATTATTATTATTATTTCTGGAATTATTAAATCTGGGATGATGATGATGATGATTATTATTATTATTAATCCTGGGATTCCACAGCATTGAACTTTTAAAGTGGCACCAAACTGCATTATTATTATCAATAATTATAATAATCATCTTCATCATCTTGAGATTCCACAGCATTGAGCTTTTAAAGTGGCATCAAGCTGCATTGTTGTTGTTGTTGTTGTTTGTTGTTGTTGTTTGCAGCTGCAGAAATATGAAAAGGCTCCTCCTCACCTCTTCCTTCTTGGCTCTTTTGGAGACTTTCTTCTCCATTTTGGCTGCAGTTTTCTGGGCTCCTTTCACCTTCTTCTCCTTCTTGCTTTTCTTCCCCATTTTACTTTATTTTGCCAAATGCAACCTCTTCTCTCCTTTCAATGCATTGCATTAAAAAAAAAAAAGGATCCTTCCCCTTTGCACACGTGCGCGCGCAACACGCGTGCACAATCCCCGGGCAACTTCCTCCAAAACAAATGTCATTTCCTTGCAGGAATGAAGAAAGGCGGCAAAGGCAGGAAAGGACTCTAATTCCCATCATTGCCGTCTGCTGGCTTGGAGGCCTCCTTGCAATGCAAAGGGATCCATGCCCTGCAAAGGTCAGAAAGGGATTTGATTTGATTCTTTTGTTGTTACTAAAATCAAACCAATTAATTCAAGGTGAATTTCATTCCTAGGACTTGAGCTGAGAAATGCAAAAACAACCTAAACAAACCAGCAGAATAGTTACTTTGTTAAGAGGTAGCTGCACAACAAAAGTTTCAATGGAATCATAATCTAAACAAACCAAAAGTTACTAGGAAAATTGTAACTTAGACAACGCAAGGCATAATACATGGCAAAACACATCTCAAACTTTATTTAAAATGCCTTTATTTATTTTGGAGAAAGCCACTGAAACAAAACATTCGTTCAAACACAATGTCAGCTTGCCAACGGTTATCTACACTGTATATTGAATGCAGTTTGAAACCAGTTTAAGTGCCACGGGATCTTGGGAGCTGTAGTTTGTTCTCTGCCAGAGAAGGCTGAAGACCTTGGGAAACTGCAAATCCCGCAATTCCATCCTATTGCAAATCTCAAGATTCCATACTATTGCAAATTCTCCAGTTCCATATTATTGCAAATCCCGCCATTATACGTTATTGCAAATCCCACTATTTCATATTATTGCAAATGCCACAATTCCGTACTATTGCAAATCCCATGATGCCATACTATTGCAATTCCCAAGATTACACACTATTGCAAATCCCACAATTCCTTACTATTGCAAATCCCACAATTCCTTACTATTGCAAATCCCAATGTTTCATACTATTGCAAATACCACAATTCCGTACTTTTGCAAATTTTACGATTCTGTACTATTGCAACTCCCATGCCATACTTTTGCAAATTCTACGATTCTGTACTATTGCAATTCCCAATATTTCATACTATTGCAAATTCCAAAATTCCATACTTTTGCAAATTCTGTGATTCCATACTATTGCAAATCAAAAGATTACATGCTATTGCAAATCTCATGATGCCATACTATTGCAAATCCCAATATTCCACACTATTGCAAATTCCACAATTTTGTACTACTGCAAATCCCAATGTTTTATACTATTGCAAATACCACGATTCCATATGCAAATTTTATGATTACATACTATTGCAAATCCCATGCCATATTTTTGCAAATTCTACTATTCTGTACTATTGCAAATCCCATGATTCTGTACTATTGCAATAGTATTTCATACTATTGCAAATCCCACAATTCCATACTTTTGCAAATTCTACGATTTTATACTATTGCAAATCAAAAGATCACATGCTATTGCAAATCTCATGATGTCATACTATTGCAAATCCCAATATTCCACACTATTGCAAATCCCACAATTCCGTACTACTGCAAATCCCAATATTTCATACTATTGCAAATACCATGATTCTGTACTTATGCAAATTTTACGGTGACATACTATTGCAAATCCCATGCCATACTTTTGCAAATTCTACTATTCTGTACTATTGCAAATCCCACGATTCTGTATTATTGCAATTCCCAATATGTCATACTATTGGAAATCTCACAATTCCATATTTTTGCAAATTCTACGATTCCATACTATTGCAAATCTAACGATTACATACTATTGCAAATCCCATGATGCCATACTATTGCAAATCCCATGATGCCATACTATTGCAAATCCTAGGATTCCATACCATTGCAAACACTACGATTCCATACTATTGCAAATCCCAAGATTCCATACTATTGAGCCACGGCTTTTAAAGTGGTGTCAAAAGTGCACCAATCCTACAGTGTAGATGTTCCCAGAGATAGAGTCTAATGTTCATAATCCTCAGATTTTGACTTCCGCGACCTCTCATTGCGTGCCTACTCTCCGCATCACTGGGCCTATGAAATGCATGCATTATGGATTTCTTTTGTCTTCATGGCCAAATTTGCTCAGCTATGGAGGGAAATCTGCTGACGAAGAGGGAAATGCCCCAGACGCCCCCTTTGAAGGCCTCAACGAGTCGGGTCCCATGCAAGCCTCTCCGGCGCTGGAGGGTCTGGGCACGAAGGCTTGTTATTTTGGGTTCCCCATCGCAATGCACAACTTTACAATCGGGCGAAAGGGCTTTGTGCAGGATCAGCAATGCAAAAGAATCACAGACATCCCAGGGCCCCTCTTTTGGCCGTCATCGCCTGTCCTGCAAATCCCGGTAACTTCATGGGGTTTTTTGAGGGGATTGATTTGAAACTCTTTAAAAGTTTCATCTCAAGCTTCTCAAAGTTTGGTATCACATTGCAGCTCTACTGTTAGAACAAATGCAGCTTCACCCCGTTTTAACTGCCGAGGCTCAATGGTGTGGGTTCATGGGAGTTGTAGTTTGCACTCTTTGGCAGAGAAGGCAAATGGTCTTGTGAAAACTACAACTCCCAGGACCCCATAGCAGTTAAAGAGTCCAAACTGCATTAATCCTGTGGTGTGAGGCAAGGGGTGATCACCCAGCATTAGGGATAAATTGATGGATTATATTTAAATATTTATTTTTAGATAGCTCTAAATTTAATCCAACTTTAATGTTTATTCTCTTTCGGTGTTAAATTGTGTGTTGTATTGTTAATAATAATAATCACAACAACAACAACAACACAATACACCAGACATCACGACTGTGGAAAAGAAAAAAGTCTGGATTATTGATGTCGCCATAACAGGTGACAGCCGCATTGAGGAAAAACAACAGGAAAAACTCAACCGCTATCAAGACCTCAAAACCGAACTGCAAAGGCTCTGGCATAAACCAGTACAGGTGGTCCCAGTGGTCATTGGTGCACTGGGTGCCATGCCAAAAGATCTCAGCCGGAATTTGGAAACAATGGACATTGACAAAATCATGATCTGTCAACTGCAAAAGGCCACCTTACTTGGATCTGCGCGCATCATTCAAAAATACATCAGACAGTCCTAGATGCTTGGGAAGTGTTCGACTTGTGATTTTGTGATACGAAATCCAGCATATAGATCTCGTTTGCTGTGACATACTATGCTTTTGTGTCAGTAAAATAATAATAATAATAATAATAATAATAATAATAATAATAACTGCAGAACACATCATGCAATGTGCGAGGCTTGACAAATCCAAGGCTGGAATTAAAATTGCCAGACGAAACATTAACAACCTGAGATATGCAGATGATACCACTTTGATGGATGATACCACAAGGAGGAGCTGAGGAGCCTTCTAACCAAAGTGAAAGAACAAAGGGCAAAAGCTGGGTTGCAGTTAAACATTAAAAAAACCCGAGATGATGGCAACCAGATAGATTGATAACTGGCAAATAGAGGGAGAAAACATGGAGGCTGTGACAAGGTTTGTTTTTAAGGCACGGAGATTACTGCAGGCGCAGACTGCAGCCAGGAAATCAGAAGACGTTTCCTTTTTGGGAGGAGATAAATGGCCAATCTAGATAAAAGGGTCAAGAGTAGCGACATCGCACTGGCAACGAAGATCCGCATAGTTAAAGCAATGGTATTCCCCATAGTAACCTATGGGTGCAAGAGCTGGACCATAAGGAAGGCTGAGCGAAGGAAGAGAGATGCTTTTGAACTGTGGTGCTGGAGGAAAATTCTGAGAGTGCCTTGGATCGCGAGAAGATCAAATCAGTCCATACTCCAGGAAAGAAAGCCCGACTGCTCACTGGAGGGAAGGATATTAGAAGCAAAGATGAAGTCCTTTGGCCACATCATGACAAGACAGGAGACCTTGGAGAAGACAATTATGCTGGGGAAAATGGAAGGAAAAAAGGAAGAGGGGCCGACCAAGGGCAACATGGATGGATGGTATCCTTGAACTGATCAGCTTGACTTTGTAGGAGCTGGAGTTCGCGACGGCCGACAGGGAGCTCTGGCGTGGGCTGGTCCAGGAAGTCACAAAGAGTCGGAAGTGATTGAATGAATTAACAACAACAACAACAATAGAATCCGCCCTGTGTCCCCTTGGGCAGATAGGGCAGAATACAAATAAAGTATTATTATTATTATTATTATTATTATTATTATTCTGACACAAAACTACAGTGTGTCACATCAAACAAGATATATATGCTGGGTTTCGTATCACAATATCACAAGTCGAACACTTCCTAAGCATCTAGGACTGTCTGATGTATTTTCAAATGATGTGCGCAGATCCAAGTCCTTTTGCAGTTGACAGATCGTGATTTTGTCAATGTCCATTGTTTCCAAATGCCGGCTGAGATCTTTTGGCACGGCACCCAGTGTGCCCATGACCACTGGGACCACCTGTACTGGTTTATGCCAGAGCCTTTGCAGTTCAATTTTGAGGTCCTGAGAATGGCTGAGTTTTTCCTGTTGTTTTTCCTCAGTGCGGCTATCACCTGGTATGGCGACATTAATAATCCAAACATTTTTCTTTTCCACAATCGTGATGTCTGGTGTATTGGGTTCCAAAACTTTGTCAGTCTGGATTAGAAAGTCCCACAGTATCTTTGCGTGTTCATTTTCCACTACCTTTGCAGGTTTATGATCCCTTTACTAGTTCTTTACTACTGGCAGGTGGTACTTGTGACATAAGTTCCAATGAATAATTTGGGCCACAGAGTTGTGCCTCTGTTTGTAGTCTGTCTGTGCGATTTTCTTGCAGCAGCCGAGGATAGGATCCATGGTTTCCTCTGCTTCCTTGCACAGTCTGCATTTGCGGTCATCCACTGATTTTTCAATCCTGGCCTTAATGGCATTGGTTCTGATGGCTTGCTCCTGGGCTGCAAGAATCAGGCCTTTTGTCTCCTTCTTCAGGTTCCATTCATGAGCCATAACCAGGTCTTCTCCTTATACACTTTTCCTTTAATTTTGTCAAGGAACTTCCCATGCAATGCTTTGTTATTATTATAATATATATTGTTATATTATATTGTTATTGTAGTATTCATTACCCA